CATGTAATCCATATGTTGGGGGTGTAGAGGCTCTCATCGTGCCACTTGACGGTGCTTTCTTCTGGCATGTAATTCATATGCTGGGGGTGTAGAAGCTCTCATCGTGCCACTTGACGGCGCTTTCTTCTGGCATATGATTTATATACTTGTTGAGATAAAAAAAAGAAAAGAAGAAGAGAAAATATTTAGCTAACCAAATATAAAAGGTAGTCTCGCTTTTCAGGTAAATTTTCTAAAGCAAGTACAGTTATAGAACAATTTCCTCGACGGCATTGAGCATACAGTGCCAAAACATCATGTCTTGGGATACTATTAGCACATTTGAAGTGCCAGAGCACTTTAGCAGGTTTCCTGCAGGTGTCGCCCACAATGCAGCAGAAGTTGTATCTGCTCTGCGGAATGTTATTGAAGTCTGCACAGAGCCACAGACAAAAGAGCATCGAAAAGCACTTACGCGCCACTCAAGCCCTGCCAATGAACCATTTGCAATATGTCACTGCACGGCAATCCCAGAGAGACTTGTTCTTTTGTCCTCTATCATTGAGGTTGCATGGATACACGATGGTGAGTGAGCCGCTTTGACCCCGGCTTGGAACGGAGAGCTTATTTCAGAAAGATATCACTGAGGAAATGGAACACGAAGAAGTATGTTTTACCATCACTCCATATACCTACATCCCAGGACAGCTTAACATATGTTTTAGGCTTGTTCTAGGCACGAACTTCTCAAAGGAGCGTTACAACTCAACCACATCAACTCCTTGGGCTGTCCCAGGGAAAGGAGCTTTGCCAAACTGGTGCGAAGCGCAAGTGCACTCGACGCAAAGGAAGCACCACAGCTTATTGGTGTGTTGAAGAACTATCTTGACACATTTGATAGTTCCAAGCAAGACTTTGCGCACATGGATGAATACAACCCATACAGGGTGGGCAACTGTGGATATTGGTGAGTGGAAAAAAACTGCTGATATTTTTGTTTCAATTTTTCTAATGTATGGTCCCTGCCAATAAGGATTTCCTCATACTTTATCCGATGGGGAATGGGTCTCACTCTTGACGCCGAAGACCTTGAGAAGATTCGCGACTTTGACTACTCAATGGGGGTAGTCCTTGGTCTGACAAATGATTATTTCAGCTGGGCAGTTGAGAAGGATCAGAAGACGGACCGCATTCGAAATGCTGTGAGAGTTCTCATGAAGCAGCATGGACTCTCTGAGCAGCCGGCCCAGTCCCTTCTACGTGGGATTATTATTGATGAGGAAGAGAGAGCTTACCATCTCAAAGGCCAGGTGCTGGCGAGCTCACCTTCCAATAACATCATTGAATATATCAAAGCAATTGAATTGTATGTTGGAGGCAGTTGTTATTGGCATGCTACTGCTCCACGATACAAAGTTTGCTAAAAGCCTGCACTCCATTACTGTCAGCTATTATGGTCGATGCGACTTTATAGGCACTATTCAGAGAGAATAAAGGGAGGAAATCTGATTGATAATCATCCATTGTAAGACCTATTTATGGGCAATCTGGCAGCTATCAACTACAAAGGAAGCTGTTGTGAAAAAGTCCCAAAGAGTTAAATTGAGTAAAAAGTGCATAATGTATGTATGCGGCGGCCATAGTTTAAGGATCCTGGCTGCATAGTAGTAGTCCCCAGTCCTATCATCATACAGTCATATCCGGTCATGATATGTTCGGGCAGCAGTAAGTCGTCGATTCTTGGTAGTCGGTAGGCTCGGCCTCTATTGGTCACTCGAAACGGTTAACATATCAGGCATTCGGCATATTATGTGACGGCTTGACGTCGCGGGTACGGCTAGACCTCGCCGAGACCACCCACCCGACCCTCGACCCTCGTCAAACCTCATGTGGGCGACCCTCGCGGACACTCATCGACCCTCGTTTTCATAAATCTCCATAAATTCTCATAAATTTTCGCGCTTTACCTGATTTCTATGCATAAAAATGATGATCCATCCTATTATAGTACTGTTTTCCTTGTTTGATCACCCCTGTGACGGCCTGGTCACGTTGTCTGGCTATCACGTGAGATGCAGTTGTTTGCTTTGTTGATAAATACAGCGTCACCTCCTTTCTTCCTTCCTCATGTTGATTATTCTCGTCGATAGCTACCTAGGTAGAACCCATGAGTTGGATGTTCCATTATCCTAGTAGAGCGCCGTGACAACCCGCGGGCGATGGCAAGGTCTATCTATCTATGTACGGCTAATAATGACAAATGACATCAACATGAGTGGAGCTCTGTTGCATAGAGGTTATAAAAAACCGCTTCATCCTCTAGATAGGGTAATGTCACTGAGTATGGACGCTCGCTAGTCGTATAGCATGCTTGAACACTTTGGTCTGTTTGGAGTAGGACATGGATGATGAACTACTTGCACACACTAGATGATCCGTCGCCGGAACGCCCTGCCTTTTCCCTTCTCACCTCATGTTAGAAGTTCGTCAGATAGTCTACCAACAGTCTCTTATTGAACGATATCGTCACAATTATTATGGTCGATGTAGCCTATCAATACAACTCTTTCGTATCAAGTAAGTTCCTCGCCTATAGCTGTAATGGCTCAGCCCAGCGCCTTCATCAGCAAACATCATCAACACGGCAAACAATACCATGGACGAAATCAAGACAAACAAGCTGCTTAGCGAGACCACACACAACCATATGGGACTTCTTCACGTAAATAGACTTGTCTCATATTTTCTTTTCTTCTCCAGATTCGATATTCTCGTCGATGGCTACTAGTTGGTTTAGATAGGAATGTCAATTCGTTAATATCTTCTAGTTATTGAGCCCGTGACAATAGCCTCGTACAGTTGTCCGGAGACTCGGCACCACTGCCCTGAAGCTTCCTCCTTTGACTACCCGGTCTCTTGAATCTCCCCGCTCTGATGCTAATCCCATTGCAGCTCTTCAAGTTGTGTCTTGTCTAAATACCTGTAGATAGCCTGACCCTGCAGTCTAATATTGGGTACTACTTTACCCGAGCAATTATCAGATCCTTCGCTTTTATTTCTTATATTTCAGACTTTAACTACTTTCTACTCTTTACCTTCAGCACAAGGAACCGATATCTCTGATGTTTTCAACAAGAGTCTCAGCGAAAGAATATCTCTAAATATAAGTAGTAAGCATGGTCCAAGCTAAAAATACAACTGTTTCTTGATGCAATCTATCCAATCTACTCCGCAGATTATTTCTCCACCAGTGCCTGCTTCCAGCAGCTGGAAACCTTATTCCAATATTGTTCAGGATGCAGCCTCATATGCCCGACATGCGAAGAACCTTCAAACATCTCCAGCTCGATCCGGTAACCCAAAGTCTTGGCCTGGGCTACATTCTCCTCCAAGTCCTTCCATCCAATAATCTCATCTTCCTTGGAGTACAAGTAAAGCCTGCTAGATTCGGTCGAAATGATTGACCCATCATTCATCACCCGATTTGCCCAGACACCCGCGGGCTCCGAGCCTCGAAGGCATTCCCAGGCCCAATTCGCCCAGAGGAAGGCATACCACAAGCCCTGCGTGATAACGAACGGCCAAGGGAAGAACTTTGCCGTCCCCACCGCCATCGCGTGTGACCAGCGGCCAACTTGAGATGCGAAGTCAAGACTCCCAGGTGTGGAATCAAAAACAAATAGCTTGTGAGGAAATGTTTTGTCTGTGCCGTGGCGTTGCTGATAGGCGACGACGACAGCGGCAGCGAATATCGCACCCGTATTTGACATGGCATGCACAAGGACGCGCTCTTCATCGCCGCCGCTACCCATTGGGGTTGGGAAAACCGTGTCGACGACCGGCATCATGGCCTCGATTCGAGCATCTTCGGGCTGGTTTGAAGCCTGGAGGGTACGCGACAGGATCACGATGATCCGGGCAGATGGGAAGAGCTCATGGTAGCCGTCAGAATACTTGGAGACGTATTTTGGCATGCCGTCACCCCAGCCGGAAATAATGATGGTTGTTGGCTCGCCGGCCGGGGCTGGTCTAGTTTTCTCTTGGCCATTGCGGATGTATACCCGATCAGATATCGGGGTGAAGCCTGGGAATGGAATCGGTTGCGGAGCCATTGTGCAGGTATGGGTTCTGGAGTGACAGGAACTTTCGCAAAGGAATGAATAGCGTTAAATCAGCCTCAATCCAAAACGCGGAAGGTGGTTGAAATGTCTCGTGGTTTGTTCTAGAGGCATGCCGGCGTTCTTTAAGAAAATCTCTGTTGGTGGCCAGCCACCGATGTGGACACTCTTCCGGGGCATCAGATTTAGCACTGGTTGACAACAATGGTTGGGAACTGCGTGATCTCCAGCACCAATCTGTTCACAGCAAGTGGGTTGTTGGGAAGAATCACGAGGGCTTGGCGAACGAGATATTCGAGCCGTGATTTATGTGTTTTATGTACCTCGGCATTTTCCTTATTCTGTTTATTCCATCAGGCATTAATTTTCTAACTAGGGCAGGAACGATAACGTAATCCGAGAAGCGCACCCCATAACACCACACGAAACGCGAATTTTAAGACTTGAAAGAAACAACTCTCATGATGGTTACCTCGATCTCATGGGACCCCTCGATAGATACCCATAAATATTGGTCAAGAATTTTGGTCTATGCGCGCCACTCTCGGTCATTATATCTAGACCTCGCCCTCACCTGCGGGTAACTTTCCGAGGGTGAGGGTCGTACCCTCATTTCGAGGGTCGAGGGTCTGACTCTTTCACCCGCAGTGAGGGTCCGGGTCAGGTCTTGCTCTCGCGAGGGTGACCCGCGGGTGACCAAAGAAATCAAACATTACTATATTAGGTTAGATTACCATTTTTATGCATACAAATCAGGTAAAGCGTGTGAATTTTATGAAATTTTATGAAGTTTTGTGAGAATGAGGGTCGTTAAGGGTGTATGGGGGTCACCCGCACGAGACTCGGATAGGGTTGAGGGTCGGGTGGAGGGGTCCAAAGTAGGGACCCTCTTGAGGGTCTGGGCGAGGTCTAATTATATCCCAATCACGCTACCGCAAGGCACTACATCAAGCATTAAATACTCTAATACTGAGACTCTGAACCGAGAATGTAAACAACAGCAGTTAACAACTAAAGCTAAAAGCCATGAGTATAGTAGACTTACATCAAGACGCATAAACATCACCAGGCGTGCACCGGAATATTACCAGGATACCGGCTACCAGCCGGTGTAAACTTCGCCAAGGTGACATCGATCTGTGCCATCTCATCGTCCGTCAGATCGACCACCTTACTGTTTTCCTCGATGTGGGCGGTTGTTATAGCACCTAGAATAGGGATAGTCATAGGCATACTTGTATAACATCAGTCCCCGCTTCCAGTTGATGGCGAGCTGGGCTGGTGTGCAGCTCTTCTTGGCGGCTATATCTTCCATCTGCTGCACCAGCTGCTTGTTGATCTCGAAGTTGCCTGGTTGGAAGCGCGGAAACATCCACATTATCGAATCCTCAGGGATATTTCAATTCTCGGATCTTGCCGTAAGAATTCCATGGCCGATAGTGAGCAGGGGATGAGTGGAAAGCTGTATTGGGTACAAGCAGCTGAGGGCCTGTTTCCGAGGATCTCGGTTGAGATGCTATCAACGTGTTTGTTAGTTCAAGTACACGAACCTATCACACTGGATGGATTCCTATGGAGTCTGATGACGTACAAGGAGAGTTCGACCTCAACGGCATGAACCGTGACATGCTTCATGGATTGTCTCAGCGCGAATCTCAGATAACGATACAACTCCGATTTTCCCGGTCTAGACGTTCTCCTTGTCCATCACATTGAAGGTCTGAGCCATGGACACTTCCTGGTTGCGGCGGGTGAACTCAAAAGATTTCGAGTTTCTTGTCTTCCTTTAGCTAAGCCATGTTATTGCCAATTGTGCAGCGGGTACTCTCGGCAGATTCATCGCGAGCATTGGTTTTGGGGTTGACGCCGCCCTTGATGCTGAGTATGATATTCCCGGCGTCCTCGGGGCACTTTTCCAGGTAGCATTGCACGAGCACCCAGGCTGTTGTGGCTCGGGGGCCGTATAACTCATCGTCGTTCCGGAAATTGCCTGTGAATGTTAGCTAGTCACAAACAAGTATCTTAATAAAAATGGATGGAATGCACATCCATGGTCAAGAGCAGTGCGCATGGTGGAGGTGGCGAGGTGGAGGTCGATATTTAGTCATGACGTTGTTCGGACTCTTTGTTTTCGACCTTTCGAGTTAATTATAAGTCGACTGTTTCTAATAACATGCTCATTATTATATCTACTATCACCACCTTTGTGCATTATACTCATGTCCTACTTTTGTAAATCTTCAAATAATCACCTACAAGCTTGGCCGCGGCCTTGTAGAGAACATAGAACCGGGCGTACTAACTATAGATTAGGAACTAAGTTCAAAATATCCTCAACAAGACCCAACAACGTGTTGATGAAGTTCAAGGCACGGATATGCTGATCGGCGCAAAGTCCAAATTCAGCAGTGTCATGCGCGAGCTTTCCATATGTACTCCCCCGTCTTACCAGCTCCAAGCAATATGGCAGTGAGTTACAAGGGCATTGCAAAGCTCCAGCAGTCCACATCTACGAGCGTCTTCGTGGCGGCTCGAAGCATGATACATCATTCTTCGTAGAACTAGCTAGTCAATAGCATTCGGGATCGGTTACTTACAGTATATTTAGTCTATACATGTCGGCGCTGGGCTATTTAGATGCATTGAAGGCTTCTGCAATAAAATCTAGAGCCCTTCCGTATGCCTCCATGGATCTCTTCGCCGGCTTCGGTGGGAATCCGGAACCAAAGTCGACGAGACCATGTCCGCCATCTTCTACAAGCAACAACTCTGTTTTGATGCCCAACTTCTTCAGTTGCTCATAGTGCTCCACGCTTTCTTCAGCAGGAACTACTTCGTCTGCTGTACCATGCACGAAGACAGAAGGGGGGTAATTTTCTGCTATGAATAATTGCAGAAATCCTGGCTTGATACCCTCGGGTATAGCTGCAGGTCGTTGTGCATACGCAACTTCGTTCAACATCTTACCAAGCCCGGGCTCTCCGAAGCACCCGTCTAGGAAGGTGCCGTCGAGTTCCCAACGCACTGTAAGTGCGAAACGTTCGGAGAGAAAGCCACTGGCTGGCAAGTCGTCACTCACAATAGTCTTATCCGCAAGTAGTTTTGGAACGCTATCGAGATCCACAAACTTGGCTATAGATGTCGGCGGTCGACCAGTCGTCCAATGGTCGAGAAGAAGGTTGCCGCCAGTGCCATAGACGGTCATCAGGACAGCTGGTTTTGGACTTGCGTACACACATGCTGCACGAGCGGGATACGCGCCCGCCGAAAATCCCGAGACAGCTATGCGGGTGGTATCGAGGGACACATTCTCCGGAAGCTGCTTCTGGAAGCCTCCTGCAAGAAAGTTGAACAGAGATTTCACATCGTCGATTTGATCGAGAGCGGTGCTTGGATGGCAGAGCCTGTAGTCTGCCGATATGAATATGTACTCGTGTAGTTGACAATGATCTATGTTACCGAAGATCAGCTTTTGCACAGACTACGACTCTTGATCCCACGATGCTCGAAACATACCGTATAACCACTGCGGAAACGCTCTGTCACGTCGCGAACCCGATGTCATTCCACCGCCATGATAGTAAATGAACGCCGGCAAGCTTCCGTTGGCCGTAGGTGGTAAATAGTAGTCCAGTTTGATATCATGTTCGTCAACGGTAGAATAAACAAGCGTTCGGCCTCCCTCCGGTAAGGATGCCGTGACCGGTGGTCCAGTGATCGACATAACTCAGATGCGGTGCTACAGCAGTAACCGATTGATATCCAGCGATCAACTCGCTTGAGCGTAGAACGTGGTTCTACGAATGACGAGTCTGGTTATATAGGCTGAGTTGTCCAGCGCCTAAGTGTTATTCCGCCTACTCCGCACAGTGAGTCCCGGATTAATCTAAAACGGCAAGTAGGACCGTCTCTTGCCTTGGGCCTTGGTAACGAGGCATAAAGGGAGCATTCCGTAACTAATTAACCAAGTTCCCACCCGAGCATCACGTTTTCTCGGTATCTTTTCGCTGTAAAGGGACTTTTCAGGTCGTTCGTTTCCCGGATTCCGAAGGAAATAAAGCCCCTAACATAGCGAACGCTGGGTTGGCCAGCAAGAAGGTAATTACCACATCCCGTAGTATGGCAGTAGCTTTACATAACGCACAATATAAGCCCAACTATTTTCGACGGTACCTGATTCACATTCTGTCGTCGACACTGTCATTTGAAAACAAATCAGGTTTTTGATGGGTCTGTAAAAGCCCTTGTTCTGACTGGCTGAAGAGAAAGCCGGGAGATGTCACCGTGAACTCAGTGTGGTATTCCATGACTGAGCCGGAGATGACATCCAGTTTCCTTTTCCGGTTAGGTAGTCACTCTCCACAGGATGAAAAGCTCTTGGGTGTCTTTTCCAGAACCATTCAACGCTCAATAATGGACCATATCTCCACAGCCCCGTTGAATTGGCTCACAGAGTCCATGATTCATTGGTTCGCTGCAGTCGGCTCTGAACACGGTGTGTCGGACAATACAATCAATGTTCGGCATGCGTTATATGACCTCTCCAGATATCACAAAATGCGGACGATGCCTCTCAACACTGGCGTGTGGTTCCTTTTCCGAATCCGTGGATGTTCGAAGGTCGGCTTTCATCAGTACGTATCCGCCTCAGGACTGATAATGGATACGGGGCTGGACCAATGGTTGACCAACGATGGAGCCCAATGGCTTGCGATGTAGTGACAGGTTCTCAGAATAATGGAGTGGATGGTACACTTACTCGGATCATCGGTTGCGAGCTCCCTGTACTTCCATTGGCGGGGATTTTTGGTCGAGAAGTCATTTAAGACGTGTTCTTCCACTCAATCTTTGATTCGATTGTTTCCTATTCACCTTTATATATCTCTTCCTGTTATCTTATATATTGAGCCTTTTAGTCAACTGGCTTTATTTACACATCGTTCTCCGCTTCAACTAGTCGCCATGTCCTGCTCCATTGGCATTCAACCGGCCTCAACATCGATCCATGACCCTTCTTGGGGTGCCGCCCTCAGCCTGTGGCCTGCAGGCGACCAACTCGAAGGTCTTGAGTCTATACCGCCGACTTTTGCGACATGGGATTTCTCACCCGGACAGGACTTGTACAATCCTGATGTGACGTTGAATGCAACTCATGACCCCGAACGATCACCAGAAAATGATACCGGTAATGTCTCTTCGCACGGGGCACAGCCTGCCCCAAGTAACGGCCAACTCAAAAATCGAAAAAACCGTGACACAAAGCCCCCCAAAACAGGTATCCAGAAGACTCCATCACGGGAGAGATTCTTGGAACGAAATCGGCAAGCAGCCAGTCGATGTCGACAGAAGAGAAAAGAGCACACGCAAGTCCTCGAGTCACGGTTCAAGGAACAGTCAATCAAGCATCAGCAGCTGCAGTCTGAATTCCGCTGTCTTCGCGTGGAGATCCTTGGTCTGAAAAACGAAGTGTTAAAGCATGCACACTGTACAGATAACCATATTTCCGAGTATCTCGCGCAGATGCTAGAAAGGGTGAGTTCCCAAATGGCCCCGGTGACGCGAAAAAAAGCTAACTGGTCCAGGTACAGGAGTACGGGCCGCAAGACAGGACGTCTAGCATCAGTGGTTCTTCCGAACTTGAGTCGACCGACTCGATAGATGAAAGTTTAGCACACGCTGATTTGGATGATCTGCTTGTTTCAGAATAATGTCTCTCAGTCATATAGGGGCGTTCTGGTACTGGCTCGAGAAACTTTCTGTTACGCGTTATGACCCTTTCTTTCTTTCCAAAAGACTTATCGTTTTATATGCAACACGATGTACGAGCTATCTCTTGTATATATTAATGAGGTGTATGTTAATGTTGAGGTCGGCCCGTTGTCTCTGGCACAGATGCCAATGTACATGCAACTATCAATCCCTGCAAAGTCGATCACAAGGAGCCGAATAGATAGTATGACTGTCTGGGCTTAATTGTCCAAAACAGCACCAAGCAAGCCGACGATCTCGGATGGCTGTCTTAAATCACTACCAGCATGTCTATTATATAAATGCCGTCACACGATTCTATTGTTTGCTATTCTCTGGGAGACGGCGACTTGTCTACCTCACCAGGATCGGAAATATTCAGGGCGTCCCATTTTTCCAAGAACTTGTCGAGTTCGATTTCATCAGTCTGGACTGATCCAATCGAAACAGCAAAGTTTGGGTACGAACTGCTGAGTCCTCGTCGATCCTTCGCGCCCCAACTCTGTTTTTCAAAGTCCGAGAAGAGCACATCAATCTCTGGGGGCAACGATACTTCCATTTTCCGCGCTGTCACCTGAACAGCCCGTAACATGCCTTTCCCTAAAGCCCATCGTCGCGACGCCACCTTCGCAACAATGCTGAGGCTGATGAACGCCTCCCGGTTCATGGGATCGTCCAAATCCTCCAGCAATATAAATAGTGAGACGGTGGTCCACTGGATATAGGTCACCACGAAAAGGTCAATACCCCACGATGATCGATGTATATCCATCAAACTAGCAATTTTTCGAGCGGACTGTAAGCATATATTTGCCGCGAACTTATGGAATTTCGAATGTAGAATGCCATTGCCGTCTGCTATATTTTTTGCAAACCCGAAGACCATAATGGTAATGGTGTGATAATACATGCTGAGGCATTATAGTTAGTCCGTATCTCATTGCCCAGGTTATGCGAAACATACTGTAGACATAATACCTGGGGAAGAATACAACCATCCGTGTCCACTCTGATACACGGCAGCATCCCCTTCTCCCAGTCCAAGAGGCGTCGATAAATGTCTTCCACTATGGTTTTAATTCCGTCGAAATGAAGCTTTTCCGAATCACCAAATACGGATTGACACCAATCATTAACAACCATTGATAAGTCACATAAGCTGTTGAAATGACAGAGGAAGTGTGCTGGAAGGCCGTTTTGCTGTGAGGGATATGGTGACCACAAATCATCTTTGTCACCCTGCTTCCCTTGTGGACGAGGGCGAACCGGAGTATCGATCAGTGGCGGTTTGTGATAGGCCATGGCGGTTGCTCTAGCCTTGGTTAGCATTTTTGCCTCACCGAAATAGTTCAATGCTTGCCGTACGTTGTCATGATATATAGCCCCCAAAATGTGAAGTCGGTGACTCGACCCAAGTCGAGCTCTTGCCCGGTGGCGTCTGGTCGAGTTTTGGGAGTATTACGGTCTAACTCTTTGACAGCGAATATTAACTGCCCTTGATAGAGCCAGCCACGGCGGTCTTTTCCCATGGCATACGCGCTGCGAGGTTCTGCTATTAGCACCGCTAGTACACTGAAACGGTATGATAGAGGGTGAGTGCATATTCACCACATTGAGAGCGCTTCTAGCCCTTGTACTGTAGCAACGGTCATATGTCCCTCCTCCATCTCGAGGCATTTCTTCGCTTCGCTGTAGAAGTGAACTCCTGCCGTGGCTGAGTCGTCCGGGTCGGTGTATGCTTCCGCATAATCAGAGTAAGGCTACCTTGATAGATCTGGTCAGAAACTACAGCAATCTTCTCGCCTAACTCCTCTTTCATCTACCAACTTACGCATCCAGCGGCCAGAATAGCATTAACGAGAAATGGCGAGCAATATTGAGATTTTAGGTCTCCACGCTTCATATCCCTGAGGAAGATGTCTCGGTCCATGCAAGAAAAGCATGGATCATACCAGGTGAAGTACAACGATATGATATGCGACACTAACCCATCGTCGCCCGTGACAGTCGTCCACGGTTTTGCCGGGACTCGGAAAACAGGCTGATCACAGAGTCGCTTAACATCGAGAACATTCCGACAAGTCCGGGAACTGGCCTCCTGTAGACGATTGATTTCATGATGGGCCTTGGCTAGTTCGGGCGACTGTGCTCTGCGCAGTTGCTCGTCGACGAAGGACTTGAGCTCGGATAGGGAGGCGTTACTGCGGATCAGGCTTAGAAGCGTGGAGACACGAGTGTCGCCACTATCGCGTAGGGTCTCCACCAGTCGTATAAGGAGCTCCCGGTCATTCTCGAGGCTGTCTAATTTGCGCTTCAGGGTACGGCGGTTATCACTGTTTTCGTCGATGATACAGTCGACTTGCATTGTACAACAACGACCACATGGCATTACTCCATCGCACTAAAAGAGAATTTTTAGACACCGTCGCCTCAAGATAATCCCGCTTAGTGGGGCCAAGCACAAACCTTTAGCCTTTTGGCCCGACACAGGGAGCAGGCAGTCGAGACCCGATGCACACCAGAATTTCCATTTCTCCACTGCGATCCTGGCGCCGAGGACTGCTGATTTTGAACAGGATTCATACACACGGAGTTATCTCGATGGGAACCTGAATCCTCACATGGAACTGGTACCGTTGAAGAAGGCGGGATTTGCTACACCGGGATTTGAAAAGAAAATATCTGATCCGATCGGACTCTCTTCGGGATTCGGGACATATGCTTGCTCCGGAAGATACTGGGTCACTTCTTCAGCTACGAAGTGGATCTGTCGGTGCCCCAACATCTAAATTGACCAGGGATTGTAACTGGCCCCGCTGGACAATGGGAATGAGCTTTCCAATACTGTGAAGAACTCGGAGAAAAGCAATATCTGCTGATATAATACGAAAAGCATGGTTGAATTCGGACAGCTCTTTTGATATAACTTGCGAAATCTCGGAACAGCGACACCACTTGTATTCTCGATGCGCCAATTTTCAAACGCCAGTTAAGTTCATATGATGCAGGCGGCATATTATGCTTCGCGACACCCCGTTTGGAACAATCGTATCATGCACACGTCGGGCTTGTCGCCGGCTTTGATACCGCATTTGAGGGGTTCGTCTGCGAACATCCGGCCACTGCTCCCCCGACTGTATCATCCACCGCAGCATCATAGGCATCTCCGCAATTCGGATCACTAGAAGCCTATTAGCGCGCCAGAATCATCCAAGTGGAATGGATTCATTCTCACCTCGAACCGCCGCTAGCATTGTTAAAGTACGAACAAATATCATGCGAGAAGCAATCCTGCGTGTATACATCGCCAATCGCGGTTCCAGTACATCCCGCACCGCATCGACCATTGCACGAGTAGCTTCGGGGGTTCGTTAGCGCTGGTCTTATTGATAACAGAGACTAACATACTCTCCAGAGCCATCGCTGTTAGTTCCGTAGTTACTTCCAACCACCCCAGCAAACGAACATGTCTGCCCGTCGCTGTTCGTCCATGTCGCGGTGGCCGTGGCGCCAACTTCAAGGCAGGTGATAGAGCGCTTGCTGAGCGTGGCACTCACAGCCAGTGGGAGGGCCGCAACAAGTGCATAGAATACTTTCATTTTGTACTTTCAACAAGAAGATGAGCTGGCTATCTCAAAGAATCGACATCAACAAAGGATAATCCAGCTCCTTTTAAGGTGGGCCCCTCGGTGGGTTTCTCGGAGTTTTCTTGCTCGGCCCGGGGCCGTAAATTAATGTTGATTAAATATATCGCATCAAAGCAGCTATGATGGCGATGTTCTGCAGGTACAGGGATAACATTGGTTTTCTCTCGCTGCCGAGGTTGACCTTATATCAGGTATGCAGTCTTACATTCACTACATCTGGCTAATCTCTAGGTCTATGCCAATGTAGGGGTCTCGATTCGCTGCATTATGATTCTATTCGAACTAAACATCAGTAATATACCCGCGCGTGTTATCGTCACCTCGGTAAAGCTTCAAAGATCAAAACCTAGATGCACTATTTCGTCCCTGCCAATTAGTTACACCAGGGGTATCGCAGCAGAATGTCCGAGCTCAGTCCCCGCGTTCTCGACATCGGGACCTAATGCCCATTCCTAATCTGCCTTGGCCTATAACGAATTACACGGTAGGTATATATGCCCGATGTCCGTTGCGCCGTCATCTCTATTGGCTATCCAATCACCATGGCTTTTCGGGCCGAGGGTTACGAAAAAGGTTGTATAAAAAGGACCAAATCGGTATCACAATCCTACCGACATAGTACACAAACTTACCCACGAAGCCATCCAGGTCGAGAGTCTGCAACCAATTAGTTTCCTTGTTCCTGGAAAGTATTCATAGAAGATGTACTTACGGCGATCGAGGTGCCTCCGCTTTTCCTTACCCAAGTAAAAGCGCGCTCGGCCATCTGATCTTCATAGCGAGCACAAGCCTTGCGAACCTGATCCGTCGAAGGTGGTACGCCGGTCATTGCTTCTTGATGCAATGATAATAGTTCGGGGAGGATTTCGGCACAGTCATGCAGAGCTTGGTTTGCTCCTTGGCCGCTATCGGACCGTTAATGATAATCCTCTTTTCTCAAGCATCCTGGTCCCTACCGATTGGCCTGCATCGCGTGGATGGCATCCCCGATCAACCAAACTCTGGGATGTCCTCGAGATGGTTCTGCGGCTTTCTCCAGCATGTTACGCCAGCGCGGTGAGGGCTTGCTACTAGCTCGTAATGGTGATACAAATATATCCGCGGTACCATCGTCCTTGGCCGCTGTCAACAGTAACTGTGCACTAGGAGGTCTTAGTATACACACCGCAATGGCCTGGACTAAGATAATCGGCACTCACAATCTCGGGTCCCAGTCCTGAATGAAATTCAAGCAAAATTCGAATTTGTCGGGGATCTCAGCTACACTTTTGTAGTGAGAGTAGCTCCTTGGAATGCTCAAAACCCAGAAGAAGAACGCTTTTCTCTCATCACGACGTGAACTATCAACATCTTCGGCTCGTGGGGATGGGAGATATACTATTCAATCTGTCAGAAACAACCACTAGCAAGCAAGAAAATCAACGGACAAGAATAGTATAACGTAGCGCCCTTTGAAAAAACGATGATCGGTCCCCGACGCAACTGACTAGGGAGTTCGTACACCTGATCCAGTGTAAGGCTTCCTTTCGCAAGAAACGCCCAGTGAGTGTTGATCGAGACAATGTTTCGCAGTCCAACTTCTCTGTTCACCTTATATCGGTCAGCCAGCCTTACACGATTGGGCTCGCTCCACTTACTTGAGAACGACTTCCATCGGCACCAATCAGAATGTCGCAGTCATCGAAGGAAGAATCCGAGAAATAAGCGCGTACTCTCTCGTTTCCGTTTGTGTCGTGGATGATTTCGTACCGAGAGAAAGTGTTGCCATACCTCACGAGCCCGTTCGACTTAAGGGGCTCAGTTAGGATATCATGAAGTACAACTCGACTGATGGCAAAAGACTTCGCATACGAGGGGATAGCTGTCAAGTCGAGGATCTCTTCGCAGCGAGAATTCATGATCGTTGGTGCCGTCGAGCCGGAGACCGAGGACTGACCGAAACTCTTCGAGATTGCTGCAATATCCTGATCTTTTAGGCAAGCGCGAAATCCATGCATAGCAGACTCACCCAACCGAATCTGATACCCTTCTCTTTCCACATCTCTCCCATCCCGTTCATACACCACCACGTCCACGTCGTTGTTCTGCAGTCCGTTTGCCAACAGGGCACCAGCCAGTCCACCTCCCACGACAATGACCTTGAACTGTGCCATGATTGTTTAACAAGTAGCTAAGAGAGCACTGCGATATCCACTCTGCTTCCCATCGATGGAAGAACAACTAATAGATGACTTTGTTTACTCTGTACAATTGCGGAGACGTACCGGGGGGGTGGGGGGGGTGTCCGATATATCGGAATCCCACCGGCTCTCCGCTACTGAAAGAGTGGGGTTCCGACGGGTGTCCAACTCTTTGCAGAAAGTAGCTATAGCTAATCACGACCGCTGTTCGTGATTATGAATCTAAGATATTACCCGGTTCGTCTTTCATGTGGAGTGCCATTGGGAATTTGACTGGATGATGCTGTCCTACCGGATAGTTGTTGCTATATTAAATATAGGTATTGCAGAATGGACATATAAACCCACTGGTACGAAGCCACGAGTAATATATCTTCTCATTCCTCAACCTGCATCAATATGGCTCTTCATCTCTTTTGGCAAGAAAAAGAGCTTCCCACTCTTAGCCAGAGAGAGCTAGTCTCGACCCTTCTTGCGACAACACTTCTGTTGATTTTATTCCGCATCTTGATTTCTGTTTATTATCAAGCTTTCCATCCATTATCTCAATTCTCGGGTCCCCCAGGAGCTGCCACGTCCAGACACTGGGTGTATCGAGTAACTGATCGTGGCTTTCCCGAAGAGGACTTTGAGAGACTACACAAGCAATACCGTGAGCACATCCGTGGCTTTTCATTCTACTGCGTGCTCATATTAATCCATTGCAGAGACTCATGTGCTGCGGATTGGCCCCAATGAGCTGCACATCAGCGATGTCGAGCAGTATAGGATTATCTACAGCCAGAGCAAGCCATTTCCCAAATATGGCACGTTTTACGAAGCGTTCAACACTCCCCATACGGTCTTTACGGAAACAGATAGAGACATGCATAAGGAACGACGTCGATTACTTAACCCTTTGTTCTCGCGAGTTGGAGTATTCAAACTCGAGCCGGTGATTCACGAAAAGGTTGGAATTATGCTGAAAAAGATTGACCGTCTAAAAGAATCTCAGTCCATCAACGTCTATGATGCTTTCAGGTTAGTTTATCCCACGGCACGATGCTCTGAAGAGGCTGACATTGCCTAGATGTCTCACGACTGAGGTCATCATGGAGTTCGCCTTTGCCAAATCGGCCAACATGTTAGAGGAAAATGAAACTACATTCGAGTCATGGTTTCTTACGGCATTTGACGCCGTTTCTGGAAGTCTCTGGAAATTGCAGGAATGGCCTCTGGTGCGGAAAGCTCTATACTTCGTACCGACCAGCTTGGTTAGTTTGGTTGATCCACAGATTGCATATGTCGCTCGAATGCTGAAGGTTTGTCTATCTGGTTTCTGTCTTCATCGACGAATACCACTGACAATGGTATTATTCTCGCAGTTCGCAGAAAGTTGTCTCCAGCATTACACCATTCATGGCAATACAACACCACATCCGGTCGTTTTTGACAATCTTTCCTCCGTGTCGTACGACTTTAAAGTCACGGAAGCATTGGATGTGCTAATCGCTGGTGCTGACACGACTGCGTCGACTCTAACGACTGGAGTACTTCATATTCTCTCAAGTCCTGACATCCATGCCAAGCTACGGCAAGCTCTCAACAATACAGAAGAGCCTACCGGGATGCAGCTCTTGGAACTAGAAAAGATCGACTACCTGGTAGTATATCTAGCCCCTATTATGCTCGAAGATATCTGTCTAACTTCGGATTACCAGATCGCTTGTGTCAAAGAATCATTGAGAATCGGGATGGCAGTACCCGGACGTCTACCACGAGTGGTCCCGCACGATCTTCTACAACCTTTCGTTGTTGACAACAAAGTCATTCCGCCAGGCGTAAGTTCATCGCTACATATCTCTTATAATGCGTAGTGATCTAACTATAGGCTAGACTGTCGTTTCAATGTCCGCCTACACGATGCACACAAACGAAGATGTTTGGGGTCCTGATGCTCAAAAGTTCAATCCCCATCGCTGGTTACGGCCAGAATCCAAGGGCCTCGATCAGTACCTCTGCACATTTTCCAAGGGATCCCGAATGTGTATTGGTCAAAAGTATGTCTTTGGTCCCAATACTGTCGGTGGATGAGAAACTGACCTATCTCCAGTGTGGCATATGCTGAGATTATAATCGTGATGGCATACCTATTCCGCAACTTCGAACTCGGCCTACCACAGGACTTTGTTCCCCCCCAGCGTAGAGACCTGTTTACCATGGGGTATTCGCAGCCAGGACTGCCGATCCATTTCTCAAGGCTGGAAAAGAATGGAGTCCGGAGTAGACCATTGTCGTTGGATTCCGACATCACAAAATAAAGACATAAATATAATTAGAACTATTTCGAAAGCAATCCATCGTCAAAATATCACGGCTTTTTTACTACCTGCACAAGACACTTGTACGTGCTAGATTTGCACAGCGGGGAGTCAGTGGGTCTTTGTCATGCGACATCAGCCAGCCACAAAGCTGGCAGCTGAAGATGTCAATTCCTTCAGAACTGCGGTTCATTTCCTGACATCTTATACACAAAGTAGACTATTCGAACCGAGTCGAGCAGGATGGCCCAAGCAAAGTCACTCACGATTCTTGTCACCGGGGTAAGCAGCACTTCACAATGGCTACAGTGCCGCGCTGACTCTTCCCAGGCCGCAGGTTTCCTGGGCTCGAACCTCGTTGATTTCCTCCTTGGAGAGGGCCACCAAGTTATTGGCGTGGATAGCTTCCAAACAGGGTCGCCAAAGAATCTAAAACATCTCGAAGGTCATGAGAAGTTCACGCTACTCAAGTACGTGGTGACCCATGCTTTCACGGGATTTGTGGCCAACCAGGCTAACCCAATGTCAACGAACAGTCAAGACATTCAATCACCAATCGAAGGCCTAGGACACATTGACCAGATCTACAACCTGGCATGTCCGGCGAGTCCGATCCAATACCAGAAAGATCCTGTTTCAACCTTGCGGACCTGTTTCCGCGGCACGGAAAACTTGTTGGAGCTGGCCAAAGAACGGAACATTCGACTGTTGCATACCAGCACCTCCGGTCGGTAAGCATGCTATCTGAAACGGCCAACTCATTAACCAGAAAACAGAAGTATACGGTGACCCGCATGTCCACCCCCAGCCCGAATCCTATTGGGGCAATGTCAACTCTTTTGGGCCCCGATCTTGCTACGACGAGGGCAAGCGCGTTGCAGAAGCCCTCTGCTATGCGTATCGCGAGAATGGGGTCGAAGTCCGCATTTCTCGTATCTTCAACACGTATGGACCACGGATGAATGCGGCTGACGGTCGGGTGGTCTCCAACTTCGTCGCAGCTGCCCTTGCCGGCGAGGAGCTGAAAATTACCGGCGATGGCAAGGCAACCAGATCGTTCCAATATGTCACAGACTGTATCAGGGGACTTTATGCCCTGATGAACAGCGACTATGGTGACGGTCCGGTGAACATTGGAAACGACGGGGAGTTCACCATCCAGGAACTAGCCAGCATAGCGACTGAGCTCGTCTCCGAAGTGACAGGAAAGCCAAAGGTGCCCATTATCTACCATCCACGCCCGGTCGATGATCCTTTAGTCCGCCGTCCTCAGATCACTCTGGCCAGGGACAAGCTGGGCTGGAAGCCCGTAATTCCGTTGCGAGAAGGCTTGCGGAAGACAATCGAGTGGCATATGAACGAGAGTTGAGTTGTTCGAGACCGCGGTGCTCAGTGCATTCCCTGGTCGGCAAACGAAGATCAGACGTGCCATGCTTGATTGGCCATTAGCTTGAGATATAGAAATACAAAGAAATAAATCCTGGGATCTTATCAAATTGATATCCAGATTGTAATTCTCGGCAAAAGAATAGATGCCGAGGACCCCACCATAACAAACCCCGACTCTCCAACTCCCCGGCCTCTTCTCTCCCCGTCAACCAACACCCACAATGGCTCCGTTTTTTGATTCTACAGCTCTCCAGGCCCTTAAGGATGCGCTGACATCCTCTCTCATCTTAACGCCTGATTCCGAGGGGTATCAGGACAGTTTGCGACGATGGTCCGATACGGGTGTCAAGCCTGCGGTACGCCCCCTCACTACTCTCAATGGAATCTAGTTCGCCCACTAACCTCGCAAAGGGCGTTGTGGTTATGCCATCAGAAGTCGCAGATGTTCAAACAGCCCTGCTCTGGGCCCAGAAACACCACATCGATCTCGCGATTAAGGGCGGCGGACATTCGGTTGCCGGTACCAGCTCGAGCCAGGACGGACTTGTCATCGATCTTTCTCACTTGAAAAGTGTTTCCGTCGACGCCGCGGCGAAGACAGTTACAGTACAGGGAGGGGCTACGTGGAAGGAAGTCGATGAAGCTGCATGGGAACACGGCCTCGCTGCCGTTGGAGGCACGGTCAATCATACGGGCGTCGGTGGACTGACACTGGGCGGCGGATACGGCTGGCTGAGCGGGTTATACGGTCTTACAATTGACAATCTATTGTCTGCGCGTGTGGTGCTTGCTGATGGTCGCTTGGTCACCACGTCCGAATCCGAGAACCCGGACTTGCTGTGGGGGTTGAAAGGTGCGGGGTACAATTTCGGCATTGTCGTGGAGTTCACATATCAGGCACATGAACAGAAGAATCCTGTTTTCGCGGGTATTATTTCCTTCCCACCGGACAAGCTGGAGGTAGTCGTGGAGCAGCTCAATGAGACGCTGCTGAGTCCTGATCCTCGGGGTGGTATTATGTGCTTCTTGGCGCAACCCCCCGGTGCCCCAGTGCCGATGATCAATGTCCTTTGCTACTACAACGGCACCAAAGAAGAGGGGGAGAAGCGATATGGTGGACTGCTGAAGCTGGGGCCAGTAGTTAACACCTTGGACATGATCCCATACTCCCTGTTAAACAGTCTTCAAAATCCGATGGCGACATATGGCGGACGGAAATCATTCAAGGGGATTTTCTACCAGCCGCCAATGGATCCCCAGTTTGTACGCACCATCTTGACTGACCTGACTGCCAAGATCCAAGAAGACGAGGACCTGAAGGCATCTGCGTTGATCCTGGAGTTCTTTGACATGCGCAAAGTCTGCGAAGTTCCTTCGACGGCAACGGCGTTTGCAAGTCGGAATAGCACCCAGAATGGAATCATCTGCCTTCGCTGGTCTGATTCCAGCAAGGATGCCCAAAATCGCGCCTGGGCGCGCGAGATGCAGGCCCGATGGAAGGAGCAACTCAAAACTCCTGACACCGACGTACCGCAGTACATCAATTATGCTGAACGTAAGTCCCCTAACTGACCTGTCTTAAGATGCAGTACTGACTATTATAGCCGGTGACTCCGCCGTTTCCAACATTTATGGTGTCAATCTGGGTAGACTGCAAGATATCAAGGCGAAATATGATCCCACGAATGTGTTCTACAAGATGCATCCGATCGAATGAATGCACCAACCGCATAGTTTGTCAATAGTTACCAGTTGTACATATGCATGGAACTTGTACATATCAAGTTTATCCTGTTCATACAGGGAGGTCTCGAATTCCGTATACCAATCTGGAATTCTGCTCTGCAAGGAGCTCACCTGAAATACAAATTGTGGTCCTTGTATACGGTATCCCCGGCGTATCCTACTGGAATGTCGATGTCACATTCCATCAAACATCAACACTAGGTATAAATTGTGGAAGCCACAACTGCGCGTGGGCTACTCAGCATTGCGCCAAAATTGACTGTGATGATGTATGCCTCCCGATTGTCATGGGCACTGCTTGGCTTCAGTGGTTTGTTGACCACTATCGTGGCAAAGGATACATCAACTGAGAAGTACACCTTCGCTGAGCTATGGGACTTGCAACACGATCTCTGGAAGAACTTCCTCTATCCAACCAATTTGAAACAGATAAATGCCACGGATGAATCTGTTTTCACGACCGACGTAAGGAACCATACATTCTCCATTATCCGCGTATTGACGCCCTCAGGTCGAAGGCCGCGTAGATGTGACCCGCACATTCGATGGCCGTGAACTCAACGCTGAATACATCTTCGGACTCTTCTCAGAGCCCGATCATGTCAGTCTTGTCGGAGTCCCGATTGAATACAACATCACGCAGTTTCTCGCAAACGACAACATTGCCTCGGCCACAACGGTGTTCAAATTCAACGCGACGACTTTCGACCTGGTTGTCCCCGTCACAATCGACACATGGGTCCAGTGGAACGACGAGGGCAAGATCGTGCGCTACGATGCTACCTTCCGCTGGTTCGACCATCTCATCGAAACTCTCTTCACTGCCATGGGGAATAAGCTCAACACAACGTCCGTTGAGCAGATTACAGACCACATCAGCCAGGTCCTGGCACAGACAATTTGCAAGACACACGAGGATAACTGCCACGGTGAGAACCAGCAGTACGATAATATGGACCAGTGCCTCGACTTTCTAATCAACAAGACGCGTTTCGGAAAGCCGTTTGAATTGGGTCGGGACACGTTGCTTTGCCGTGAGGTGCATGAGCTGATGGTCAAGTATCGACCGGAGATCCATTGTTCGCATATTGGTCCTAGTGGAGGGGATTATTGTGTTGATGATAGGTCGTACATGAAGGTCGTGACGGAGCAGTACTTTAGCGAGTCGTGGATTCCGTTTGGGTATGGGAAGGAGCAGAATATCTGGCTTCCTTGACGGGGTCAATAGCGAATTTGGCTATGCTTAAAGATCCATGATACTTGTGAGAATTTGATTATATTGATAGTTGACAATTATACAGTACTTGTCCTAGGAATCAGTCTTCTCCTTGCTCATCGTATCAATATTCAAGGTGTTGAAGGTGATGAGAGCCGTGGCTAGATTCATGACGCTGGCTACGCTATTCACTACCAATAGGATGCCCATTTGCTTTCTCCCTTGACCACCTGGATAAACTGTTCAGCAATAATCTTGTCTGTCTGCTCTGATGGGTGTAGCTCGTCGAACCAGAGGAACGTTTCTGGATTTGGTAGACGCGTGCACTGTTTAGTTTTTTGGTCACAGTGATTGGTGTAGCCAGTCACGTTGGTGATATTCGGGTAGTTCGTGTCGTTGTAGTAGACATCAGAAAGCTAGAATGTCATGTCAGATCCAGCTCCATTGCAGTTCAGAGGGTAGGACTCACCAATCCATACGTATCCATCACGGCGAAACTCGCACCGGGATATCTCTTCGCGATGAGCACTTCATACGGCGTGCGGTAATCAAACACCTGATTCAGCGCAACCACTTGTTCCTTCATTCTATGGCTAATCTCAGTAAGGTTCTCCGGCTTCCATGGCCAATACTGTGACTCTTTGCCTGTGACTCCGCCCTTCTCCGGCACTGCATACAACGGTGTCAGGTGAAGAGGGGCTAAGTTCATGAGCACAAAGTTCCTCGCGCCCGAGTGATAGATGTTGTCCAATGCCCTGTACACGCAGTTGACGTAATCCGCAAGAGTAGAGTTCTTATTCTGAGAATCGGTCAAGAAACCCTCATAGCCGATGTCGTTGGTGCCGATCCAGATAGCATATACGGTGGACTCGAAGGGGGGTCTCTGGGACGCGCTATCCGCGAGATAAGCCGGAACTTCGTACTCTAACACAGACGGGTATAGAATCTTGGTTGAGGGCTCTATGCGTGAAGTGATTTCCTTGGAGCAGTCGGCACCGCTCACGGCGTAATCGGATAGCTTCGTTCCGGTCTGGTTGACGACAAATCGAGGCCAGGCAAAGCCACCCGAGTCAGTATTATTGCTCTATCTTGTCAGTCTCTATTTTACTTCGATATCCCGGGGGAAACATACCACTGGTTCATCCCAGCCTACTGGCGGCGCGGAGCCATTATGACTAGCAAAATAGTCCCAGCGCGACTCGTCCGTATAACTGTTACCGAACACGACGAGGTTGGTGAACTTCTCCAAGTTCCAAGCCGTGGCGAGAGACGGAAAGACGAGCAGCGAGAAACGCATCTTTGGTGGTTGCGGATGAAAAGGGGATGTAGCTGAAAAAGTGTCGAGGAAAAAGCACTATACAAGTCACGTGTGGAATACGTCAAAAAAGGGAGGAACTATTCAGCTTCCTGCCGGTCTCCTTTTTGCATCTATAAAAGTTTCGCAGAGCTATTCAGCTTCATTGAACCGGGAAAATTGGAGTTGGCATTCACTATCGAGCGACATGGAGTTCTCTGAGATCCATTGGTCAAATCTATTTACTACTAATGGAGGGCCGAAGCCATTGTGCAAATCGATATTGAGATACTACGCATTATACGAAGCCTATTATGGTTATGATTCCATACGTGCACCTCCCCGTATGTATTTCCAAACTCCGGAATATACTCCCGCCAAAATTTAGCCGATCAGCTGCTGCTGATCTCGAGCGATGCACGATATCATCGAAAGCCTCGTCGGTCATGTACTTTCCCATAGATCATCGGAGCAGAACTGCAAGATTGCCCCGGTTCAAAGCGAATTGGCCCGGCTCAATGGCCGGAAGGACACATTTGACGCACTGCTGAGTATGCTCGTGGCGGTCCCATATGGCGCGTTGGCGGATCGCATCGGTCGCACACCTTGTCTTCTATTGTCGATATTCGGGATATTGCTGAGCGAGATCTGGACAAGATTCATTTGTGAGTTCCACCGTGTATCCTGTATCATATTCGTAGTGTTAAAGATTAGGCTGGTTGTCTTCTCTCCGGTTGGTCTGGTTGTCCGGCTTGTTTCGCCTGCTGGGCGGCGGCGAACTTGTTGTCTCGTCGATTATTTGCGTGATGGTCGTAGATGTGTTTCCTGAAAGTGATCGGTAGGCCTCGACCTCTAGTGACGTTGGAGAATGCGACTGGCAGGATAGGGTGACGGCGTTGTATCGATTGAGCTCGGTTATCATCCTGGGCGAGATCCTCGCAACGCCAGTCAGAGTCAGTGCTGCAATGATGACATGGTCGTCCTGGATGCCATATCTCCTTGGTCTGGCCATCGTTACATTGTGTCTGCCTATAGCCTGCTTCCTGCCGGAGATGCTAGACCGACAGAGTATCGAACCGCATACCGGTGATAATCAGGTCTCCTTGACCGAGCAACTACAGCAGCAGATCCGGCAGCTCAGTCATTTGACGCGTTTTTGTGGACGGGCAATATAATCCTGGCGCTGTTCATTTTTCTTAACGAGTAGTCTCGGTCGCCAGTCAACCTCCCTCTTGCTTCAGTACTAATACGCCCGCTATAACTGGTCTCTTGCTCATGCTGGTCTCTTTCTTGCTCTCTGGGGCGTTGTCACCCTATTGACATTCGCATTCCTAATGCCGACCGTAACAGGATAATTGGCTATAGCCCTGCGTATTCCGACCGTGAAGGATCGACGAATGTCACAAGCCAACAATAGCCTATCGATCATAGGCTTCGTCCTGGTTGCGATTGTCGCTGCACCCGGTTTATATGTCGTTGGCTTAATGCTGCTCTCCCTTGGATCAGTAGTTGTCATCACAACGCGCAGTCTGGCTACGGCGCTCGTCTGACCGGACCAAATCTGACGGCTGTACTCTGCGGCTGCCGTGGCTGAGTCCATCGGAACATTGGCTGCCCGGCCATGGTTTGCTCAGCTGTTCGACGCAAGCTTGCAGACCTGATGGCTGGGGTTGCCATTTCTGCTAGCTGGGGTGCTTTTTGGTCTCTCGACTCTAGCAGTGTTACTGGTGAGGACGCATGAACCGGTAAACGGGCCGGAACAAGAGCCTCTCCTGAGCGATGGCGTGTAATCGTGTATACAAAGTCGACATCTTCAATAGAAATTGGCGTATGCCAATCTCCAACCTGGATTCCGGTACCGGTACCAGCAGCAATCGCACTCGAACGGAACATATCCCCCTGGAGCTTCTTCTACCATGGACAAGTCTACTCCAGCCGCGGCAAAGGCCTGTCCAACTGTCTGTCCACCACGGAACATTGCTTTTGGAACATCTGGGATCGGGGTCGTTGTCTCCAGAATAATCTTGTTCAGTTCGGGAAGCGTCCCCTCCTGCAGCCACTGGTAAATCGGATTGAGATAGTATGACTCAAGGTCAACGTGTTGGACAGCGCACTTCAGCGTCAGTTCTTCCAGGTCCCGTGGGAGGAGCGCCTTCTGTGACAAGATCCCCTGCTCAATATGCCCGCGTATGATCCACAACTCAATTGCCAGGCGTCGCAGGGCCACGAAGTCGATAAAGGTCAGTGGCTCTATTGGCGGTATGTCTACATCGAGAAACAAGTCCAGATCTAGGCTGACAAGCGATGAAGCATGTATACGCAGGGAATCCAGATTCGAAGCGCGGTCGTCTCCCGATACGCTGCGGGCCCGCCAGGCCGATCCCTTGGTAGTAAAGTGTTCAAGCGCTCTGGGCATCGAGAGGATATCACGGAGATGAGAAGGACGGATGTCACAAGTGATCAGTGTCAATTCTCGAAGATCTGTCGAGCGTGGCTCTGCAGAACTGAACGAGGTGAAGCAGGCCATGCGAGCATTGGCAATGGTGAGACGTTGTAGGGCCGGAAGTAGGAAGATGGCGTCAAGATGCGCAAGCTCCCAACTCCCCTGTTCACTCAGGTTAATGGTGCCTTTCAGTTCAGCGTAATGATATATTGCACAATGGGTGAAAGAAACATACATGTTCGCAAAGACCGAAGGACTTGGGACTCTGACATTGTAGCCTCCAGCAACAGATCTTCCAGCTTTTTCGACTGCTCCATGTAGCTATATAAGCCCAAAGACATGGGGCCTCCATCATTGACTCCTTTGATGAGTAGCGACTCTAGATTGTGTAGTTGAGCGATGGTTGGTGACATCGAATCGAGCTGCAGCGGAGCATCCATTTCGTCTGCGACATCGTGGTAATGTATCCGTAGTTCCCGGACAAACTCTGCTCGAGTATGAATACGTTTAATGGAGCTGGTGAAGGATTCCTCCTGCTTATTTCGTAGCGAGACGGTGTGGTAAAGATGCGGTTCGACGAGCTGCTGCAGTGACTGACAGACGCGACTTAGACAGGCCAGCGAAGAGGAGTCAATAAAAGACAAAACGACATTGAGCAATTCAAGAGGCAGGTCAAGCAGACGATTCGCTGAGAAATACATGATGTGAAGAAGATGAGGAAAAGTCGAGGACAGAGTGACGTCGAGAGGTGAAAAAAGCACTCCACTGCGGAGAGGGCGATTCTTTCCCCATCCGGAAATCTCACGGCTTCACGAGCGCCAGATTGAGTCTCACGACAAACATGCAACCGATCATTGTGGTATTTTAGATACACCCGAGTGTCATTATTTACAGTTTTTCATTATTTAAGGGAACTCCGGTGCTGCACCCTTGATCTTCGTATAGGCCTGCTTGACTTCCTCGCGTCCGGTAATCTCCCGCAACCACTGGATAATGTTGGGATACTTGTCCAGCGACAATCCAGCAAATCCGAATTGCCGCACCCACGGTTCGAAATGGTAGTCCACAGCCGTGATACGTCCTGGCAGGATGCTGCGTCCGCCGGACTTCTTGAGCTGGCTTTCGAGCACTTCGTAACAACGGTACGTCTGTGCAGTGTATCGTTCCAAGGCATTCTCATTCTGGGTCGAGTTATAGTGTCTGTAGTTGTCAGTCCCTACTTCACAGACCATGAACATAGCCGATCAACATACCGGAACCAGTTTGTCTGTCCCGTCATGGGTCCCAAAGTGGTAAGCAGGAAGTACTCCCACTTGTCGAAATCGACTCTGTCCTGCTCCGTATTTCCCACAGGTCCCAAGATGTTCTGCTTGTCGTAGACGCGCCGGATGTAGTTCAAGCAAGCCCCGGATTCCCACGAAACCACGCCAGTGTTGGGATCCTCCAAAGCCGGTACGCGGCCGTTCTCATTGATGCGCAGGAAGGCTTCGCCCTTAACGCCGTTCTTAGGGTCGTCGCCAAACTGCCATTGCTGGACGTTGTAGGGGAGATGCAGGGCTTCGAGTGCGAGGGCGACCTTGATGGGGTTGGGGCCGGTGGCATGGGCATGAAGCACAAGTGGCTGCATATTTGGTAGATGATATATAGGTATGGTCAGGATGAATGAACTGAGGTTTCAGGCATTGTTGTAGAGAAAGTGATGTAAAAGCGTTTTATACTCGGCACTGAGGTCAGTTGGAGAACCCATCGGCGACGGTTGGAGTGGGTCGTATAAAAGACGTGATAATACAGTAATACGATGCCAGCAAAGACGTGTAGTTGGAGACATGACATCACTAGATGACCCCAATTGGGGTACATTCTAAATTGGGAAGACACCTTATCTCTATCAAGAGTGCAAGAGGGGTTGTATATGGCGCAGACCTTCGATTATCTTCTGTTCAGCGTATGCTGGGGTTCGACATTGTTTATCTCAATTGACAGCTACTCCGTAGAGTATTTTCTATCAGTCAACATCAGTCGATCACAGCAATAAGACAGCTTCGACGTTGACATCCGGAATTATGTGGGCAGCGCAGCTAGCCAAAGTGAGTATTCAGTATGTCTTTTAAAGACATGGCACTCATAGAAGCAGTATAATACTCCCTACACCCTCTCGACTGTTCCCATCCCCGCAATCCGGCCAAATGAACTGCTCGTCCGTGTCCATGCCGCAGGCTTCTGCCACTCCGACCTCCAAGTCCTTCAAGGCGAACTCAACAGTCCATTACCCATGATTCCGTCCCATGAGCCTGCTGGCGTTATTATCCAGATTGGCGACGAGGCTGCCAAATCGTGGAAGATTGGGGATCGCGTCGGAGTGTTAAACTTCAAAAATGCTTGCTCGAAGTGTTCAGACTGCATATCCACGCAAAAGCGATCCGGTACCTTGGATGCGCGCTTCTGTCGCCATCGCGAAACGGCTGGGTTCTACCATGATGGGGCATTCGCAGAGTACATCGTTGCTGATGCGGCGACGACAGTCGCGCTACCGGATTCAGTATCATTCGAACAAGCCGCACCGCTGCTCTGTGCTGGAGTATGTCCTCTATTCAATTTATTAAGCAAATGCTAATGAATTAGGCCACGGTATACGGGGCCATCCAAAAGGCCGCCCCCTTCCTGCAACGCGGGGACACAATCGGTATCATTGGAATTGGTGGCTTAGGTCAACTGGGCGTGCAATTCGCAACAGCCCTAGGGTATCGCACTGTTGCCATCGATAACCACGATTCTAGTTTGCAACTAATCGATGATATGCCGCCAAAGCTGCGCCCGGAATTCTGCGTGAACTCGACTCGTGCCGATGCTAAGGAGCAAATCATGCAGTTCACAAACGATCAAGGCCTAGCCGCGACTATCGTCTGTACGGATCCCGTCTCCGTAACAGGATGGAGTCTTGGACTATTGCGCATTGGAGGAGTCTTGGTTCCGCTGGGTCTGCCCTCGGACAAGTGGCAGTTCGACTCGCAGATACTGCTGTTTCGGGAGTTGGTTGTCCGCGGAAACTACGTGGCTGGGAGACAAGAGGTCGAGGATATGATGGAGCTCGTTTCCAACCAGAATATCAAGTCGCAGTTGACCCTCGTACGGCGAGAGGATATTCCTACCATTCCAGATATGTACAAGAAGCGAGCCTTCCGGGGGCGTCTAGTTGTCCAGTGCCAATAGTTAGCACTGCCATGGAATCGGGATTAGCCCTTGCTTTCCAGACCATCGATCAACACTGTGTCAATGTGACCGCAATTTAGCCTGATGAAGCATGAAACTTGTCCTTCCTTCTTCATACTCCGGTTAATCTTCGACAACGACGTTTCGGGGAAACATCATCTGCAGTATGGGGTAAATGGCCGAGGTATCCCCGAGAGCCTTACAAACATCATCGGGGAACCTAAACCAACCAACGAGAATAATCCGGGGAATGACAGCTGTCCTCATCCGAGACTTATATGTCGTCGAGTATCCCTTTCTTCACCCTTGCAATTGATTCAATTCACTCCACATCGAGAGACGTTATGGCTACTGCTGAGAAACGACCCGAGATTATCGAGCTCGCCCGCGGGCTCACCGGGATTCCGTGGTGCGAGGAGTTCGAGAAAATGATTTCCGGAATGATGTAAGTTTCACCTCCATGCCCCATATATTGTATATTTATACCAACGCCGCCAGGTATGACCCCACAGTACCACAACTGCTGGAAGCCCGTCATCGCTGCCGGGGCCTCGCGACAGACTTCAACCAGGTAGATACTAAGAAGTACTCATACGACCAAATTGGTGATGTCCGGATGGAAATCTTGAAGAAACTCGTCGGCCGCATCGGCGAGGGGACATTTATCGAACCGCCGTTCATGCCGGATTATGGGTGTAATATGATAATTGGCAAGAATTGCTTCTTCAACTGGAAGTTCGTCTCCCATCCTTTTTTACAGAAGCGAATCTCGCTGATGAGCTCGTAGTATGACTATCTTGGACACAAGCCTGGTCGTCATTGGCGATCGAGTCCAGTTTGGCCCCAACGTGAGCATCTTCAGTGCTGGTCATGACACCAGTGTGCTCTCCCGTATCAAATTTGTCGAGTTCGGCCACCCCGTCTTCATCGAGGATGACTGTTGGATTGGCGGGAATGTCATCATTCTTCCTGGCGTGAGAATTGGCAAAGGGTGCACGGTTGGAGCTGGCTCCGTCGTTACCAAAGATCTTCCTCCGTACTCGGTGGCCGTAGGTAACCCGTGCAAGGTGAGGAAGACTATCCCTTCTGTTGAAGAGGAGGAGAATGATCCGAACAATCCATACAGAGATCTTGTTCGGTAGGCTGTCGAAGCAGTTTGGATTTGTGAGTAGACTAAATTTAGGTCCTAAATAAACTGCGGTCAAGAATTACTCGCGTTCAACATATCCCAATCAATCTCTGGTCCAGAAAATTTCTTCCGTCGATTTATCCAGAGTAATAGGACGAGCACAAATATTCCAACCAGCACCACCGAGCTGCTGTTTGTTGTTAGCATTGTCCATTAGATGCTAATACCCGGACATACTAATTCATTGAGCCCACTGTAGTCGGTAGTGCGACAGGAAAACAGAAAAATGTTCCGCTGACTATAAGCCACAGGACCGAGAACACGTTCACTGCGTAGCCCCAGACGCCCAGATCAAACGGGCGACGTGGCAGCCGATGCCTACCACATGTTGCCAGAATGCCCTGAGGAACGGTATATGTGAGGTTCAACATGATCACGGCCGTGTTGATGATAGTATTGAATGCTCGCGAGCTGGCAATGTACAGCAAGCCATAGAGCAGGCAGAACCCGGCTGATAGGAGTGTCGTGCGAACAGGTATATTGTAGAGTGGGTGGATGTGGTTCCAATAGCTCGAGAATGGCAGCCCATTCTGTACGCTCAAATCAGGGCCGGCTTCGTTGGTAGATGGGCAGTACTTACATCGCGCGAAAAAGCCCAGGCGATGCGGCTCGACGTGATCCACTGACTAGGGATACAAGCTACGAAATTAGCAGCGCGAACAATGTGAAGGATGGCCACGTACAATAATACAACATCGTCATATACGCCTGCATAAATGTCGCCGCCGATTTGCTTCCGGTCGCCTGATAGAACAGTTCAAGGCTCGGCAGAAATGAGCTCTGTACGGAATCCACGTCTTGAATCAACGTAGCGGCGGCTAGTATCCACGGGACAGCCGTAACCATACCCACAACCATTGTCAGGTTGCTAAATGGTCAGCGTTGATCTTCGTACTGGGCCATACACTTACATGACCAAAGGCACGCGACGGCTCGGACGAGGAATCTCCTCCGCAATGTGTGTGCAGGCTCCAGCAGCTGCAAAGGCATATTCGCCAATCCCGATGCTCATCATCCACGCCGGACCAGCATTCCAACCACTGTTTCCGTGAGACTCGACAAGGTTGCTAGGATGATATACACCGCGACCCATAACGAGTGTAATCACCATCACGGTCACGAAACCAACAACAGACAGGAACATGCATGTCTTAGTGAGATAATCGATGTGACGAATGGGAATAGTGAATATGGGAATTACTGGGTCTGTTAGTCTGCGGTGTTTGCACTAAAACTCGCATACTCACAGCTAATGGCTATCACGAGCACATAGCAAAGGTATATCTGCCATTGCTCACCGGCAAATCCAGGGTGCCAGAACCTAGCTATCCCAAAGGCCGAGATGGCCGTCACAAAAGTCCCTGATGCGGTTGTCACCCACCATGTGATAACGTTGATGATACCCACCGTGTATGCTGCAAAGTTTTTGAATGGCCGGGGCGCAAGTATGTACGTGAAGTGGTATTGCCCCTAGGCAGTCAGACGTGGTCATTGATATCGAAAGTGGTAGACCCTACCCCGGAAGATGTAAATGCAGAGCTCAGCTCCGCAAGTCCCAGAAGCACAATCCATTGCACAACTCCAGCGATTATGAGTCCAAATACTGCGGTCAGTCCGCCGCCATATGAGAGGGCTAGACCAAAACAGGAGGCGTATCCCAGCCATGAGTTCGTGATGCTGTTATGGTCAGCTTTTACGTTGGCCTTCAGTAGACAGACCTACCCGAACGCCAATCCTAAAGCCCCGACCCAGGAAAATGACCTTTTCAGCTCTGCCTCCCTGCCTTGAGCGCGTAGAGCGGCATCGTCGATGTCCAGTGCCTCTCCCACGACCTTCTTATTCTGTGTTGCAGTTGTTCCAATGTTTGTTTTGATGTCCGACATGTTTGCGTTCTGCGGACGGCGAGAAGTGTGTACCGTGATTGTCGAGGAAAACCTAGAGCGGGGCGTGTGATATAAGTAACCGACGCACGATGTATTCCAGATGCTACACGTGGAGTATCTGAGACGCAGCCCTCGAGCGTCCATAGGTCCCTTATCCCATCAAGGATGTGTCGTACAGCATAATGACCCGAAGTTCTTCCTGTCCCTTGCTGCATCACAAATTGTATTGCAACTCCTGTTTGGGGCTAGCCCTTGCGTATGCTTCTAGGAGGTTTGATATGCGCAAGGCTTGGCCTTTTCAGAGCACTGTGTTACCTGTACCGTTGGAGGCCACATGGTTGTCTGAGAACTACCATTGCTAGACACTATAGCAACGTGCCCGTTTTGAATGTGGAAGATCTGGAAATGCCCTGCGCGCATAGTATCATAAGCCCAATCAAGTCCAGCTCTGCTACCATGGGTTGTGTCAACATCCGGCATTTCTAACAAGTCGCACATTGCGCCAGAATATCTTTCCGAGCACCGAAGCATCTCCACTACAGTATCGAAGGGTATCGAGGTTTGGACGATGGCTCGTTCGTGGGTTTGGAAGAGCAACCACAGAATTAGTTGCCAAAGCTAGAACAGTTACTACAATCGTGAAACAAAAAGTCTTTTAATCGATAGTATTACATGTCAGCCATAGACGCATAAATCATGCCCTGAAGGAGACGCACCATCTTTATCCGGAAAAAGCTCAACTCCTGTTAAAGGCTAGGATAGACCTAACCATGGGTCTAAAGCCTGAAATTTGAGCTTATTCGTTCTTATTAATTAATATTGAGAAAGATGGAGCGTTCCGTCGACGTGTAGTTGGTGCAGGACGGAAAGAGTACAGGAGAAGAAGATCGCGAGTCAGGTGATTCTCCCAGCACGATCTCTCGTCTATCATTATTAAAAATCCACAGGCTATCCTCAACCTGCACTCTTTATGTCTGTCTTATAGCTGGTCACGTATCGTATGATAGTCTGAGCTCCAACGTCAGTCGAGTTGATGGGCCCTAGGGCTGAACCATCGCTGTAGAAAATGCATAACTGGGAGCTTAGGCTAGTAGAATAAACAAACTACAATAACCTCCAAGCATTTCTACGGGTTATTCACTACTTAACCAGGCTATTACGCAGCTCAACCGAATGCACTGCGGCGGCTCGAGTCCTCGCTGAGCTTAGGGCATCTATAAAGCAAAGAACTTGTCTTAACGAGCGTATTACAGGGACAAACGTAAAACCTCTGCCACAACGTAGTACCCAATTAGATTAGTATCGATATACAACAAGCTTATCAGCCAAGGGTCCCGGAATCATTCACTGCACGGGAGGACCCGGCTGGTTTACCGGTAACCCCGAAATGGATATCGCGAGTATGGCGTCATTCATAGCCAGACGAATGGCAAGAATTGCGTCTTCCAGGAACAAAGAAAGCCCACGTGGGGTGGTTGATTGCAAGCGGTTGTTTGGCTGGTAATTGGTGCGTATGGTAGGGCACAAACCCTCGAAAAACCTGTCAAGCCATCGGGGCAGGGTTATAAGGCAACCCGACAACTAGAATAGCCGGAGATCCCATCGGCTCGGATCTGATATGCTTAAAACCTAGCGAATCATTGCAGCGAGGGTTTCCATGTGGGTCAGATATGCACGTCAAACGGATACTGTAGTATATGGCCGAAAGAAGTGAATCACTGAGAAAACATCTGGCCCGGAGCAAACGGCCCCGCACGGTGTTTGGATATTTTGTATGGGGGTATAAAGGTCTTCATCTTCGCCATCATTCTGCAGACAACTTTCTTTCTTCTCTCTTCTCTCTTCCATCTCCTCATTCCATTTTCATCCCATCGCACCGCACCTCGAAAAACCAACTGCACGGAGACGGCCTTTCGAGTCAGACACCATAATGCCTGACGAGAAGATGTTCGACAAGGTCGAAGACGACAGCTCCAGAGATATGGGCGTCGTCGAATACGACAGCTCTCCAGAGAGCATCGCCCAACTTGAACGACGTCCATCTAACTGCGACAGCATCGAACTCCAGCGCATCAACACTTATCGTCTCCAACAACAGCAGACCGTGGGCAGTTGCCACAATCGTCCCCCCAAGAATCAGTGGTTGCCAATGGGGGCTATCAAGCCGTATCCTCCTTCTTTGCCGGACCCGGAGAACTATGTCGTCGAGTTCGAGGGAGCAGAGGATCCTTTGCATCCACAGAACTGGCCCATGCGCAAGAGGCATGCTCTGACCACTTCGATATCACATCGTTGATTGTACTGACATGCATGATAGGATTTTCCTGGCTGGACTCTTGACCTTCAGCGCATACGTTTGTGCGTATACCAGTGCCATGTTTCCAACCGCTGCTCAGGGCGTGCAAAGCGAATTTGGATTTGGTCAGGAAGTCGCTGCTCTGGGAACCACTGTGTACGTTTTGGGCTTCGCCGCCGGACCAACCATCTGGGCACCGGGCTCCGAGTTGCTCGGTCGTCGAGGGCCGTTGTTGGTGGGTATTTTTGGCTTCAGTATCTTCACTGTCGCTTGTGCTACCGCCAAAGATACGCAGACGATTATGTTGACACGTTTCTTTTCTGGGTTCTTTGCTGCGAGCCCCATTGCCTTGGTCCCTGCAAGTCTGTCGGATCTGTTCAACAGCGCTCATCGTGGAGTGGCCGTTGGCATGTACACCATGGCAGTCTTTATTGGACCCTTCACGGCACCGATCATTGGTGGTTTTACCGCATCAAACCTGGGCTGGCGGTGGACGCTTTACATCCCCTCTTTCTTCGGCTTCTTCATCCTCACGCTGCTTGTTCTTCTTGGACGTGAAACATATGCTCCAATCATCCTCGTCGAGAAAGCCACCATCCTCCGCCGCCAAACCCGTAACTGGGGCATCCACGCACGCCAGGATGAGTTGGAAATCGACTTCCGCGAACTGATCACCAAGAACCTGGCTCGTCCCGTGCGGCTGCTCTTCACTGAGCCCATCGTGTTTCTTCTGACGCTGTACATGTCCTTCATCTATGGTCTCGCCTACGCTCTGTTGCAGGCATATCCTGTCGTTTTTGGCGAGGTGTATGGCATGCCCGCTGGAGTCAACGGATTACCCTTTATCGCTTTGATTCTCGGCTTGATCCTCGGTACCTTATTCGTGCTTTCTCTGCAGAAGTCGTACATCCAACAGCTCAAAGACAACAACAACGTTCCTGTGCCGGAGTGGCGTTTGCTGCCCTGTATCGTTGGAGGCGTGACATTTGCCGGTGGGATTTTCTGGTAAGCCTTTGTCTCAATTCCCTTGAACGCCGTCGCTAAGCACAAAGCAGGTTCGGATGGACGGGGTTCACCACTTCGATTCATTGGATGGCACCCACCGCAGCTGGTCTCCTCGTGGGCTTCGGCATGGTCACGATCTTCATGCAAGGTTGGAATTACCTTTTGGATTCATATCTCAACTTGTAAGTCCATCAACCCCATTCTTCCGCTATTGTTCACTAACTCGTCAGTGCCGCATCCGCTTTCGCTGCCAACACAATGCTCCGATCCCTCGTCGGCGCGTGCTTCCCGCTCTTTGCCAAACAGATGTTCAAAAACCTGGGCGTGCAGTGGGCCGGAACATTGATCGGATGCATTGCTACCTTGATGATTCCGATTCCTATTGCGTTCCGTCTCTACGGACCGAAGCTTCGACAGAATAGCCGCCTTTCGCCTACCAACGCGTGATTGATGGTGTGCGAAACGAAGAATAAATTAAAATATCGGGGATGCTCTTGATGATAATGTTAGAGAATTTCGGATTGGATGGGCCCTTGATGGTCAATAATATGGTTATTGGGATTTTTTTGAACGGTTAGCGAAAGCTATTCTTATTCTTAGAGTTGGTTTCTATCATGGATACAAATGAGATATCAACAATTTTATGTGCCATCCACGTGGTCACACGAGTTCGTCTTTCAATTGAATACGTTGCTGGTGATTTTAAAATGTATCATAAGCCGACTCCACGGCAATGTTCATTTGTTCCAAGTTTGTTGTTCTTTGTGGCTTTGACTCCGATATATATGCGGCTGTAGGTACACTGCGGACAACGTTAATGCAGAAGAAAGACCAGAAATATGCAACGAGCTATGCATATTTTCTCTAATTACATCCCTACTCCATAGTTCATTTTAACATTTGCCTTGAATACTTCTCATACAACTCCGGATACCATTTCTGGCCGACGTCGGGATGGCTTAGAATGCGATTCCTCAGATACGCCTCGCCAAACTGACTCGTTAGCAGCTTTCCTGTGCTGGGAAAAGATACGTACACATTGATATAACGGGGAAAGAAACTCGCTAGGAACATCGACTGCCTGCTTTTTACGATCATCCGAAGCCGGGATTTTCTGGACAATATGCGCCGCAGATGATCGTAGTCCTTCGAGAGTGAGATCCAAGCGCACGGCGGAGAAGAATGGAATGCTGTATCTTGTTTTGTTTGTTGGGGCCTATGACAGGTAAGTAATCCCATAACTACCGAAAACTCCGGGACTTACTTTGACTCGATGCGTGGTGGCAGCACAAACACCTCCCGTAATTGCTTCGAGGCCCTGCTGAATATTTACGACAAGACTACCCTCGATTGGCGGTGCATCGATCCATTCTCCATTCTTGTTGAGCACCTGTAAACCCCCTGTGTCATCCTGAGAGAGAAACGTGAACAGCCCGGAGGAATCTTTATGAGGCCCAACGCCCTGTGAATCGTGCGGCGCCTGCGGATATTTGATGAACTTGAGTCGATCCATATTACCTTCGAACTCCTCGAGGGTAGTGGGAGGTAACGAGAGGCACTCGGAGACGTAGCGCAGAAAGGTCTTGTTCAGAGCGGCAGATCGAGCGATGTACTCGTTGACCAGCTCCTTGGCGCCGGGATGGTCGGGATACTAATCAATCAGTGCAAGGCCAAAGCCTATGATGATGGGTTCATACCTGGTTCTCCCCTTCGAGTCGATACCAGATCGAATCTTGCTCGGTCCACGGTTTCATGTCCGGTGTTCCAAAGTCAAATTGCTGTCTGTATTAGCAAGTTTTCTGTCCGAACTGTCCAACGGCACGTACCTCTCGCCAATCCGTCTTAGCTGCAGTTGTCTCGGCTCCTAGCTTGGTATATCCCACGAATGACGGAGAATTGATCATATTGCACTTGTTTTTTGTCTCATCGGACAAGGCAAACAGATCCGGCAGAGCAGCATGGGCGCGTTTGGTCAATTCCTAATTCGTGAGTGTCTGCCATTACTGAAACATACACGAACCGGCTTACCTCGAGACCATGATTGGTCAAATAGAGAAATCCCACTCGGAAGATGGCATCGCGCAGCTGCTCTAGAGCCTCCTCCTTCGTGGACGGACTCTGTAGTCTGGAAAAGTCGATTATCGGGATTGAAGAGAACGTGTCGGTCATTATGCTGTTCAATGTACTATGAGTGTTGTTGAAGCTCAATGCCGATGCGGGGAAGAAGTCGTATCACCTAATCGGATTTACATGACGCCATTCGAATTGCCCTACATATTACTGGTTGAAGATATCCTGTTCAATAACCGAGCTGTCCAGAGTCCAGGTGCAGAAATACCCACCAGATAGACTCCATATAGGGCGTGATGCTTTGAATATCCTCGCTGTATTCCTCCCAAATCCAATCGTTCCACTAACCGAAAGCGTCCGTGAATGCACCAAAGTCCTCGCTATGCCACCGCAAAATGGGATTGATATATGTGTCTGAAGGAAATCCATTGCCGACTCAGCATCGCTGTCGCTCGAGCAATCAATGCTTGCATCCCCCAAATCAATCGACAACCCAGTTTAGACAGATCTTAATTCTCCAGTCCTTGTATGGTAATATTCCGTGGGTGCATCACATGTGCTTCAGACATTTCTCGTAGCATCGTGATTGACTCGATACCGGCGATTGGTTTCGTGATTGCCTTGTGGTAGGTCTGGCCAAGTCCGGATGGTTACAGGGTCTGCATTTGCACTCCATTGGCCTGCTACGGACAGAACGAAATATACCACGGCAAGCGGTAAGCTAGGGCCTACGTCTCCCATATTCTGTTGCCCTCGAGCCGAGAGATGACGGTACGCAGCCGACTTGCAGGCATACGTCTTGCATACGTGGAACACGGAATCTGTATCGTTTGAATATCATCGCAGTATATATAGGTCATAAAGCCTCGCTCTCACCTGCTTGCCCCAAATTTGGCTAGAGACAATCTTCACTTAACGATTTGTGAATCTTGGCCATCGCCGACCTGGGTCTCATCGATAATCTTAATGTAGATTCTCTGGGAGCTAGGTCTTCCTGGTGATGGAGAATGTCGAAGACAGCGCCTGAAAGGACCCAATCTCCGCGTCGCAATGAGTACATTTCTTGTGAGAGCACCGCGGCGGATCTGGTGAAAGCTGCTCAGCAGCTGTCAATTCCTGTCTTTTGGAGTAGGGGATAACTCGTTTTCTAGTGTGTGTCCTGTATAAAAGGCCAGGACATTAAGGGGCATATCAACTTGACCGGAACAAGTGCTGAGGATTACCGATGCACTGTTATGGATGACACCATCAACTCGATAAGCGAATCATACAATGGTCATAAGTCTACAGACCTGTGGAACGCCTGTTTGCCTGAGAAAGTTTTCCGTCAACTTCTACAGAACATTTATTTCCCAACGATCAAAATGGCCGACCAACCGGACTGTGCAGCGACGCGTTCTGATGACCAACCCTACTCGAAAGACGAACTCGTCGGTATTATCATAGAGAAGCTCGACAAATCCACAGAAGAAGAGACGCTGGAATTTCACGATGTCGACGTCTCGACGGCATGGCAGACTATTGACGAGCTAGAGCGTCGCGAAGAAGGAAGAGCACATAGGTATAGACCCCGATCAAGGATTCAAACCTCAACTTACAAATAAATAAGAACCACCTACGACTCGCTTCAAAAGATCCTCAAACTCGTGATCGCGCCATGTCTAATACACCAGGTTCACTTCCCTTGGTTCAGTGATCAAATCAAGCTGTATTCATCCTTAACTTCCAAGGAGAAGAGCGATCTACGTATTTTGCCGTCACCTAGTAAGGATTTCTACCAGCACCAACCAGCGCATGCTAACCTAGTCTACGCCAGGGTTCGAAAACTTCCAGGCACCCTACACGGCCTCGCGCAAAGAACCTGACCAGTGCATTTTGCCAGCTGGGAAGAGCCTTCCGACGGTGGTGATAGAGAGTGGATGGTCCGAGACCAAACCGCAATTGTACAGGGACCGTGACCTATGGCTGAGAGGAGGGGTTGGGAACATACAGGTCGTGATTATATTGAAATGGAACGCTGATTCGGGAGGGAAAGTGAAGGGGGTTATTGAGGCATATGACCTCGATAATGTGGGTAACATTCGTTGCATCTCATGCGAGGTACGTGGAATAATCTTCGGCGTATGATGTACTAATCCATCTCGTGAAGGCTATATTCCCTTGTCCACCGACTGAAGTCGCTGCCACACAAAATATCAGCCTGACAAAGGATCAACTGTTTGGTCCAAACCTATCTCTCGCTCGGAACGATGCCTCAACGATTGATCTCAATGTGGACGGGCTTCGAGAGATCGCCGCTGAATACATCGGCCAGCAAGGCTATACTCCCATGTAGCTTATGCTCTACACATATAAGCGTGGATCTCAGCAGACAATCGCACTCAATGCGTATCCCGCTCTAGACACGTCAAGCGCTGCCATGTATCACTTCGAGTGGTACATCCCTCATGTGGTTTTCTTTGAATTCTCATCCGAGCAATGGGTCGCTATCTCATAATTCGCGGGTAGACTTGCGGTGGCCAGTGTCCCTTGCTGTAGTCGTCTACATCCTGGTTGTTGACCTTTTTATCTTTCACTTTCGCCTTTTTCGTCGTTTCATCTTATAGGGCTCTTCGTCACCCCGCGCTTCGTAGGCAATGCTCTACTTAGAGGTATTAATACTAAGTACTCCGTCTCGACAGCCGTCCGGCCAAAGGTGCTTAGACCTGCCTCGCTTTGCTCTCTCGATGTGCCGATAAGAACAACAAGTTACTAACCTGAGAAGTTAATGTCCAAAAGATTTGAATATCTCGTAACCACTTGGACTCCCGACTCAGTGAATGAAAGACCCTCCTACGATTCACTTAAAACGTCCCCAAGCTAGCTCGTCATGCAAGACAGAGTCGATAGCTCTTGTCCCTCCGAATTCTTCCTGGCTGTACAAGATAAGTCCAGCCTCCGGCACATGTCGTTGAACATTTGATACCTTTGAAAGCAACCGGACTTGAAGACTAGCAGGCTCCTGAGAGGCAAATAAACTGACAGCAGTCAACCAGCCTAGGTCCTTGCAAGGCCGATCCTCCAGCTCGCCTTGAATAGAAGTCCTGGGAAACTGCTGCGATCTGGAAAAGAACATCCACTGACGTTCTTGATCAGATAGCAGGATTCTACAATTCAAAACACCGTACGCATTTACGAGCAAAGAACCAGCTGCTTGAGTGTTCCCATCGAGAATTACGCATCCCACTCCGGTCGTCGAAGCAGGGTGGTCCGAGTCCAGACCAGAGTTGTACCAGGGTCGTGAGATGTGGCTGAAGAATTGCTGGAACGAGCGAAACGACCTTAATTTTGAGATGGGCGAAACTCGCTTTCGCCGTCCATACCAATGACCGAGAAGGGCTGCTAAATGACAAGGCCGATTACAGCATATGGCATCATGGTCATTCGGCACATCCCTGGCCGTTATAGAGGCCAAATAACGTGGCCAATGCATGAAGTGAGACATGGAATTTCAGGACCTAGACGCTGTCCGCGCATCTTCAAACAGGAAGTATGTGAATCCCAGCCTACTAAACATGCCTTGGCACACCCCAGTGATAGGTCATATTCCCGGTTCCAGACTCAATTTACGACCCAGTCTCTATGAATTACCAGAGCCCAGTTTTTCCGAGGGGGGGAGAGCTCTGTATAGGGACAGATTGGTCATGTTCCGTTGTATCCACGAAGACGCATTGCTAGGTCGCTTAGGTCCAATCTAATCCGTTATACTAGCCGCGAAGCCTTGATACACACCATTAATGTACTTCTCGTGGCGCTGAGAGAGATCCCATGGTGCTCCATACTCCAATCAACCAGCCCAGACCCAGACCAGAACATGTTTATTAATCCTCCTTTACGAAATACGCCATAATCACACCATCTATGCATCCCAAAGCAGTCAACTGCCTGACTCGCACGCCAAGATAAGCTATACACCTGAAACCCCGACACGCTTGGCGGACGAACCCCGAAACGAACAGCGCCGACAGAACAACTACATTTAGAAAGTATTAATATACCTGGAATACATCGAAAGTGTCGGTGATTTACGATCCTCTCGAGCGTTTCATGCAGATCGATTTCTGTACCTGCCAAGAACAACATGTTTTGACGCTTTGGCGCTGGGGGGAGTATAAAGCTCTCTCCGGTCTCCGGGTTCTGTGCTATCCAACAACCTTCGTTCACCCTCTTCATTCTCTTTTAATCCGTTTATATTCAAATCAAAGTCTGGCACTTTGACTTCCCTTCGTTGTAATGGCAAACTTCAAATTCCTCGCAGCCCTCGCTACGGGCTACCTTGCTTCTCTCGCGCTGGCCGCTCCCACGGCCACCGTTAGCCATGTCAAGCGTGCCAGCGTCAGTGATGCTGCCTACGGCTACGCTAGCTTGAACGGCGGCACCACCGGTGGTGTTGGCGGTACTACCACGACCGTTTCGTCGTACGCAGAGTTCTCGTCCGCTGTTTCTGGTGATGATGCCAAGATCATCTATGTGGATGGTACTATCAAGGAGAAGGCCGATCAGATCAAGGTTGGAAGCAACACGAGTATCATTGGAAAGGACTCGAATGCCGTGCTTGAGGGCTTTGGACTGTGAGTTTTTTTCATTCCACGCCGGACATAGTCAAGGATGCGCTAATATGAGTAGTATGATCAAGGAAGCTTCCAACGTGATCGTCCGGAACCTGGGCGTGAAGAAGGTTCTGGCTGACAACGGTGATGCTCTCGCTGTCCGTAAGTATTACACCCGGCGAACAGGTGAAGAGGAACTAACGAAATAGAAAAATCCAACAATGTCTGGATCGACCACTGCGACGTCTCTTCTGACCGTGACCACGACAAGGACTACTACGATGGTCTCGTTGATGTATGCACCCTCCATCATGTATCCGAATAAACATGTACTGACAGACCCAGCTCACCCACGCCGCCGACTACGTGACCGTCTCCAACACCTTCATCCACGACCACTGGAAGGCCTCTCTGGTCGGCCACTCGGACAGCAACGGCGACGAGGACAAGGGCCACCTCCGCATCACCTTTGCCGACAACTACTGGTACAACCTGAACTCGCGCGGCCCGTCCTTCCGCTTCGGTACCGGCCACTTGTACAACAACTACTTCGAGGAGGTCAGCGACGGCATCAACACCCGCCAGGGTGCGCAGTTGCTCGTCGAGTCGAACCAGTGGGTCAACGCCAAGAAGCCTTTGTACTCAACCGATGACGGATACGCGGTTGCGAAGGACAATGACTTTGGCGATGGCGAGAACTCTGCCAAGGAGGGTGACCTGACTAGCGTGCCGTATGACTACGAACTTGTTGGATCCGGAAAGGTCCGCGATGCGGTCTATGGTACCGCTGGTCAGACCCTCTCTTTCTAAGCGAGACACAACTGCGAGGTTACATTCTTTTTAAATGGGGCTTGTCGATAGTTCTGCAGGACAGTTGAATTCATTGGAGTGAACTTTCTTTTTTTGCACTGTAACATATCTCAACACTTAAGACTGTTCTTGGTCTTCTTCGCCAGGATCCCAGGTTGTGCCCAGATTCATATAAGCGTTGAGCGCTGAAGCCAAGCATATAGCCGCTAGACATATCAGTATTTGTCATGTACAGTGGAGAGAAAGGAGCATACCGAGAGCACAGCACATTGCGAAATAGCTACCTTGTTCTACCAAAACTCCAGATAGTAGAGGCCCAATGAACGATCCAAGCGTCCAGCCCATACTAGAAATCGACAAGGCACGCGAGTATCCGCCATTGGGTCCGAATATGCCCGGTTGTTTGGATTCGATTTCGTCGACGGCCACTTGAAAACATTAGACTGAACACGAAAATAGGGTAGAGCAACATACTGGTAGCTTCCATGGTCCCTGCTCCATTCAAGGCGCAGATCGTTATTCCAATCAAGGCCACGGTGACTGAATAAATGATATGTCCTCGATAACCTTCGTTGGCCCAGGGGAATCGCTCGTCACCCGGAACACCAAGCAGCCAAGTCAAAGGTGTTAGCACCAGAAATCCAATCGTAATTGGGCGGCGCGTTCCCAGACGATCTTTGACCCAGCCCACTATCGGACTGAGGGGGATACCGGGACTCTGAAGAGCCACGAAAAGCAACCCGGTTTGCGTACTGCCCCAGCTGAATACATCACGAACGTGGAGAGGGAGTGTAGTGTCGAAGCTGGCGGTCAAAATGGCAAAAACGAAGTAGCTGACTGCTCCGGCAACAAATTTGCGATGTTGGAAAAGGGTGATATAGAATCGTAGACCGGTTCGCTCTCGCATCCTGAGCTCAATGGGTACCACCTCAGACGGTTGCGGTTGGAGAAGAGGCGCATTTTCGGGATCCGGAAGGTCGTCTGCATCTGCCGTCACTATAGATTGGTTAGACTTGTAGTTGCGGATGGGAATACAAGTACTCACCAGGTCCCTTGCACTTGTCTTTCGGTCGCTCCAACATCAACAATCGGAGAACAATGTCAATCACGATAACAACAAACGCGCTCGACCAAGCCACCCAGTATCCTCCAAGATCAAAGAGAATACCAGACAACATCGGACCAGCGGATGTGCCCACGGCTACCGCGACAGAAATAAGCCCGTAAACCTTGCCCAGATTCTCCTGCTTGATATTATCCGCGATTGTCGAGAATCCTATCACCCACATAACGGAGCTAGCCAGCGCCTGGACCAATCGGCCGGTAAAGACGGTCACCACTTATATTGTCAGTGAGGGTCTCCTCTGGATTTCTCTTGGAACCCACCAGACATTGATACGGCCAAAGCGAAAGTCCCGATTAGGCAAACGACCAAAGAGGACAACAGCCACACCCGCTTGGTACCGGACTTATCCGCATAGTGACCGATAAAAGGGCTGACGATGACGGAAATCAAGGCGCTCTGGGACAGCAGCGCAAAACTCATGCGCTGGGTGTTATCAGGGTCCAAGCCGATGCGGACTTCGCTCATATAAGGTAGGATTGGCACGATGAAGGTATAAAGGAAGGTATCTGGAGTAAAGCGCAAGGGTCAGCAATCATCATTTGGTCTACAGTCAGAAAAGATCGCACCCGTAAAAAGAGCCATGGCCATAGTAGCGACAATAAAGGCCGACGAGGAGCGCCATCGCGCCGGTTCTTGCGACAACGAAGCGGATGCCATGGCAGTATTGGAGAGAGAAAGCGACACAGCATCAAGAGAAGGAAAGAAAGAGGAACAGAGTCCTTGTGTTCTTTTTGTACGCCATTTCTTCCGGATCTGACGAGTTGCGGCTGAAAGAAACCGACCGAAGCGGATCCGATCGGTGGAGAAAGAGAAGCAAGAATTTATCTGATTCGGGGAGACCGAGTTCAGCTATGGGAATAGTCGAACTGCATCTGCACAGTTTTATTGTGAAAGTTTTGGTGGAGATTGGTTTTGGCTGGACGTAAGGGGAGAGGTAGACTCTACCATCGGAGAAGTCGGGGGCAAGCCTGACACGTGATGTACGATTCAGGAAATCTCGATTTCTGATACAGAGTACACTGTACACCACTATTCTATACAGAGCTCTCTTCCTTTTATCTCTATACAAGAACACTTGGCCAGTTTCTCATATAAGCACGCGGATCCTTAACACATGCAGTGGTTTTATTTAGTCTGCATATGTACGGGGTAGATCCACACTGGTCACAGCTCGTGAGATCAATGTTTCTGACTTATAGATGTCTGTCGAATACCAAATATATGTGAACCTTGAATATATACAGCAATAAAATCCTTATCGTAACGGCATGCAACGTGAACTCGGGCATAATCACAGCAACGTCTCTTGATGGCAAGCCAACTTCCACTCTCCATCCGACCCCTGACTCCATGTCGATGACCCTGTTGCATTATACATCTGGTCCCCCTTGCTGGCCGTGATTTGATATGTGACGACACCTGCCATCAAGTCCAGAATAATCGTCCTTGTGTCTACTAATGAAAATGAGTCGAATCGGTGAAACGGCGGCTGGACAACATCCTCTAACGACGGTTCTGTCCCGTCAATGGTCACGACGGGCTTCTGCGGGAAGATGAAGTTGGCCTCGCGGCTGCTGAGTTTTTCGACGGCTGGAGCTGGGTCGGCAGAGGTGAGGGCTGTCCAGAGAGCACGCTCACGAAGGAGGAGGTCGTCGCGAATTCTTTCGTGGATGCTGGGCATGTTGGTCTGGTTACAGTCAGCTTGGCCTCTTTCTGGATGATGCACCCTTACAGCAGTATGTCTTTCTTACAGTGGTACTTCAATCCTCCGGAGTGTACTGAACAATACTGCTTCTGCTTTATATGCTCGTACCTGGATGGCTGACGTCATGGGCTCGGCAGGCATTGACATCAGGCCATCCGCGGTTGGAACCAATCCTGTCCATGGCTCATGCTTCCAAGAATAGAGGGCTGCATCATAGGGGCCGGGATAGTCGCAGGTTTATTATACTGTCCATGGGAAGGAAAGGGCTCGGGTACAATCGTGATTAAGTGCCATACTATACAACTAATTTTGTGGGGAAGATACCCGGCATGCACTCCACGATCCCAGACACTGATGTCAGGGCTTATGTCATATTCAAATTCTGCTTTTCGGCACAACTGCTATCCAATGGTAGGTAGAGCACCTTTTAAACGCTTTTACATGATGGCAGAGGTAAAATAATTGAACCTAACCCGACCTTCACCGTGTGACTCGGGAACCCCACGCCAGTACACGGCCACGGATGTCGACCAGCAACTTTGACGTGAAGCTATGGGCACCCTTGGCCCGAAGGCGTAGGGGTCGCGTGCACTATTGGCGGCCAGAATTTCCACGATTCTAGCACGCCTAAAGCGTGTCCGGGTCAACAAGAAGGCAAACAGCAATCGAATATGTAGATGATATCGATTGCAGCGTCGCCGTCTAGTCCGCCGCTTCCCTTGCCCGCACTATGTCCAGTGTAATGGATAATCAAATGGTGCGTCTTGCATCGGATGGCCAGTCGCACGGTTCATCAATCTTAGCTCTCGCGGTATTACCAGGGGCGGGGTTGGCTTCATTCGGGGTAGGAGATTACGTTTTGGAGGAGCTGAGTCCACAAATTTGCTCGAGCACGATGAGGCCGAAATTGGAACGTGTGCCATCGTTCACCCAGTGGAAGCGGTGGCTTTGAAGTGTTGATAAAGGACATGGAGTGTCTGTCAACTGTGGACTGTATGGAGCATGGTGGTAACTGCTCATTGGGCTCTAGGCATAGTTGTAACAGCCAAGGTTGCCTTGATGAGGTGGGAGTATACAGATGACTACCTCTATTAGAAGACAAAGATGGAGAGCAACAAGAGAGTTGAAGAGTATGATGTGCATATCTATCGATATTCGCCACTCCGTACAGGGGCAGTACTACATCGAATACACTCACCCCGAAGCATAGCCGAGATACAGCAAAAGCATACTCTTATCTGCTATGGAAGAAAATTATTACGAATCCGTGAAAATTCTACCGGTGGATATTCGGGGTATTAAAATGGAGCTAGCACGAAATCCTAATTGGCCTGACCGTCCAAAACACGCGATAAGCAAATTCAGGAACCACTTTCGGTTCTCGGACCATGAGCGATTTGGCTATTCGAGCATATCAGCAAGCAAGATGGCCGGCGGAACCCGCCGCTCAACGGCTTTAGCTGGAGCTAATATAAATCGCAATACCTCCCTCGAAATGAGGTTTTTCAGCACGATTCCGTGTACCCCTCTGCACTAGCACAATGCGTCTCCCCTCCCTCAGCACTGGGCTCTTGGCCGTCAGCTCGCTATGGACTGCTGTCTCGGCGACGCCCGGCCATGGTGTTCAATTGACTGGCAAGCATAAGATCACTCCCAAGGTCTTTATTGTGTCTATGTTTGCCCCCGAAGCTGAGGCTTGGTGGGGTATTCCCGAGTTCAATCTCCTGGCGCACAACATCACCGTCCCGGGTTTGTCACCTCTCTTCCCGGATGTCCATTGCACGGCCGACTACAGCGTCTGTCAGCTGGTCACCGGCGAAGGCGAGATCAACGCCGCCGTGACTCTGTCCTCGCTCCTATTTTCCCCCATCTTCGATCTCACCCACACCTACTTCTTCGTGGCAGGCATTGCCGGTGTCAACCCGAAGGTGACAACGATCAACTCGGCGACTTTCGCGCGGTACGCCGTGCAGGTTGCACTGCAGTACGAGGTCGACCTGCGAGAGCTTCCCGACAACTGGACGACCAGCTACTTCCCGCAAGGCGCCCAGAAGCCATTCGAGTACCCGACTTCAATTTACGGAACCGAGGTGTTTGAGCTGAACGCTGACCTCCGCTCGATTGCGGCTTCGTTTGCTCGTCGCGCGAATCTTTCCGACTCGACCACTGCCCAGGAATACCGTGCCAAATACGCCACCGACGACGAGGTTTATGTGGCCGGTACCAAGGCGCCATCCGTGGTGGAATGCGACGTCACCACTACCGATGTGTACTTCAGCGGCAGCCTGCTGAGCGACGCCTTCGACAAGACCACCAGCGTGCTCACCAACGGCACCGGTGTGTACTGCTCGACGGCGCAGGAGGACAACGCGACGCTGGAGGCGTTGCTGCGCGCGGCCAAGCACAACCTCACCGATTTCTCGCGTATCATCGTCATGCGCACAGGATCCGACTTTGAGCGCGGATACAAAGGCCAGTCCGCGCTGGACAACCTGCTGTATGCAGAGCAAGGTGCGTTCGAGCCCGCAGTGCAGAACTTGTACAACGCCGGTGTGCAGGTTGTCCAGGGTATCCTGCGTGGGTGGAACACCACCTTCGCTGCTGGCGTTAAGCCCAGCAACTACATCGGTGACATCTTCGGTACCCTGGGTGGCAAGCCGGACTTTGGGCCTGGAAGCGAGCAGGCAAAGGAAGATGCTGGGGCGTTAACCAAGCGCGGAATGGGTCTGACAAAGAGGAGCCGGGGCGTGCGGAGGTAGACATGCACATACCAATGCCATCCAATCTGCTAGGATCTCGTGTATATAACCCCACACACTTACACCAATAATAGTCCATGATATCTGAGTTTATCTGCATATACATTACCGAGGATACGCTTGTTCCCCAGATAAGCAGCCAAATCCGGGGTACATCTTATCATCATGACACACCGATGTAACCTCCCGCACAGGAAGCTCTTCGCGTGGCCACTCATAATGCGACGTTGTTATCTTGATAGTAACTCTGATAGCAATATGTATGTTCTACTAGGATGTCTTATAAGATGCCCGGGCCTATGCCCGGTCCTCTTGGAGTAAATTGTCACCATGGCTTCATATATTCCGGACGATAGCAAAATTGCCAGCCTCGAAACCAGCAAACAAAACAGCCATGATTCATCTGCACCAGGTGTCGTCGAGGATGTGGTCCAAGTGGTCGATCACCAAGCGGAGCGTGCTCTGTGTCGACGATTCGATCTGCGATTGCTTCCATTGCTCGCGTTGATGTGTGAGTTGAGTTCATATCTCGAATTCTACACAATCTACACAAGGTGCTGATGGCGTAGACCTCTTCAACGCCCTCGACAAGGGAAACCTCGGAAATGCAGAAACGGACGGACTCAGCAAAGATCTCAATTTCAAGCCAAATCAGTACAATCTGCTGCTCTCAATTTTCTTCGTCCCGTATGTGATCTTCGCGCCACCGCTGGCAATGCTAGGGAAGAAATTCGGACCAGCGAGAGTCCTGCCAATTCTCATGTTCACCTTTGGCTCGTTCACGCTTTTATCTGCTGCGGCGTATAACTTTGGTGGTCTCTTTGCTATTCGCTGGTTTCTAGGAATGGCCGAATCGGCTTTCCTACCGCTGGTCATCTACTACTTGACCACCTTCTACCGACGGGGCGAGCTGGCGCGGCGACTAGCGATATTCTACGCAGCATCCAACATCGCCAATGCATTTTCCGGGCTGATCGCATTCGGCGTCTTCCAAATCGAAAACTCTAACATCCCCAACTGGCGATACCTCTTCATCATCGAAGGCGGCGTAACAGTCCTCCTCGCTGCCTTCGCATATTGGTATCTTCCCCGCAGCGCAGCCGAGGCAAAGTTCCTCTCCGAAGAGGAGAAGGCGTTGGCCTTTCATCGCATTCAAGTCGATTCAAGCACAGTCGTCAACGAGCCGTTTTGCTTCCGCGATGCAATCCGCATCTTCCGCCATCCAAGCACCTATGTCTTTCTGTGTCTGGAAATATGCACGGGAGTACCCATCCAAGCTGTCAATTTGTTCCTACCTCAGATCGTGCAGCGACTGGGTTTTTCTACCGTCAAGACGAACCTGTATACAGTCGCGCCCAATGTAACCGGCGCTGTGATGTGCGTGATCCTCGCGTTCGCCAGTGACTTCACCCGTCTTCGCTCTCCGTTCATCGCGCTAGCATACCTCCTCACCTTCTCCGGCTTCATGATCTATGCCTCGATTGACAACGTGCACACACAATTGCACGTCGCCTACTTCGCCACCTTCATGATGACATGGGGCACATCCGCACCCTCCGTCCTGCTAAGCACCTGGTACAACAACAACATCGCGCACGAAGGCCGCCGCGTCCTCCTCACCAGTATCGGCGTCCCACTCGCAAACTTAATGGGCCTTGTAAGTAGCAACGTCTTCCGCAGCGAAGATAAACCGAAATATCTCCCAGCCTTGATCACAGTTGGCGTATTTGGTGCGACGGGCGCAACCCTAGCTGGTCTTCTTGGTGGATACATGTGGATGGATAATGTGAGACGGGATCGGAGAGATGGAGTGAAGGTTCGGGCGCTTGATGTCCCTACAGACAGGCTGAGGGATGGGCCAGCGGGGGCTGAATTTCGGTGGTTTTTGTAGATATCTTCACCCCACCTGTGATATATCCGTGCGGACATGTTGGATCCCGCTTGGATCACAACTACGTATATACCTTTCCATTCTTGAATGTATGACGTTAGCTATTCTGCTGTGTATGAGGATGCCATTGGCAACATAATATGTCGGAACCCTACTCCGTACTCCGTACAGAGAACTGAGTTGCGCGCATTAGCGGTGAGCTGAATCGGTCCATGCAAGATAAGCTATTCAGCCACACGCTATTGAAGAACCATACACACACATAACTCAATAATTTAGAGCTGAAGATGCAAGGCCACATGTCCAAAGAATGCCGCCAATCAAGGGATGTCATACAGCACATACATAAACTCGTGTAACCCCCGGTATACCCGGTATATATCCGTCTTACCACGCCTTGGCCACCATGTTTCTATCAACTATCCTCCTATCCTCGATTTCAATACTCAACCAAATCGCGCCCACAATGGCCGCCAACACCGATAACGAACAACTCTCTCCACTCCCCAAACCGACACGTTTCATCACCGGGCACAACTCCGATGCGAAGTCAGTTGTCTATACTGAGGATGGCGCTTCCTGGACCAACCTCGGCGACGATATGGGCTTCTATGTCCCGTACACTACCTCGCGGTTTCCAGTGAACATGACAGATGGGACGGATATTGAAAAGAACAAGGAAGTCACAACCTCCGGAAAACTTGGGCTGGTTAACCCCGGCGGCACAGTGTGTCGATACGTCGACTTTGCACCGGGTAACAAGCCCATCATGCATCAGACTGTCAGCCTGGATTACGGCATTGTGCTCGAGGGAGAGATTGAAATGATCTTGGACTCTGGGGAGAAGAAGCTGCTGAAACGCGGGGATATCGCTATCCAACGGGGCACGATGCATGCGTGGAGCAACCCCAGTAAGACGGAGTGGGCAAGAATACTGTTTGTTCTGCAGGCGAGCGAGAATATTGTTATTGATGGAAAGGTGTTGAAAGAGGATATCCCATCGGAGGCACACATTCAGCCAAGCCAGTGATCTCGTTCAGACTATGTACACGGGTTATATTATACAGTAATGACAACCTTGCCAAAGTGGCTTCCACTGTACAAGAAGTTGAAGGCCTCCTTGGCTTCATCGAAGGAAAACACCCGGTTCACCACGGGCCGGATCTGGTGCTTCTCGTAGAATTTAATCATCTCCTCGAATCGGTCCTTGGGTCCGTTGATGATGCCCTTGAGAGTCACGTTTCTCCGCAATGCAAGCACGTTGACATTCGTGCGGTCCTCGGGCTCATCCACCTTTCCGGAGAGATAGCCAATGCAGTCAATGAGACCTCCAAAGGCAATGCAGTCGAAGCTCTTCTTCAATGTTTTTGCGCCACCAGTTTCGAGGACGATATCCGCACCGTGGTTGTTGGTCACCTCCATCACGGTTTTTTCCCAATCGGGGTTTGTGCGGTAGTTGATCGTGTAGTCGGCGCCAAGCTCCTTTGCCTGAGCAAGTTTCTCGTCGGAGGACGATGTAATGATCACTGTCTCGGCATCAGTATAGTCCGGCAGTAACCAGAAGTGACGTACCCTTAGCTCCCGCAGCCTTCGCAATCTGTAACCCCGCAATCGAAACACCGCCCGTTCCCTGCAGTAGCACATACTCCCCCGCACCACCATCCTGACCCATTGGTCTCATCCCATTAATCGACATCCAAGCCGTAACAGGGGCAATCGGCAATGTCGCCGCCTCTGTATCACTCAGGTACTCCGGTGCCTTGACCAGTCCACGCGCGGGGAACACTCTATGCGACGCTAGCACACCATCCAACGGAAGCCCCAATCCCGACGCGAGTTCCTTCTCAGTGACCTGGCCGGTCAGGTGATCGGGGAGGAAGGGAGAGAGGACGCGGTCGCCGGTCTTGAGGGTTGTTACGCCGTCGCCGACCTGTGTGACTACTCCGCACGAATCCGAGCAGGGGACGATAGACTCATCCTGGCCGATGGATTTGTGATGGGTGTATTCGCCATTGCAGACTGCTGCAGTCAGATCATGTCCCTATTCCTGCTTACGGGGCAATCGATTGGTTGCTTACCTTCTGTGTCACGGTAGTTCAGCGAGACAGCGCGGATCTCTACGAGGACCTCTCCTTTGCCGGGTGTGGGGATGGTGCCTTCCTGGAGCTGCAGCGTGTCGAGACCCTTCAGGGTTGTCACCCATTTCTTGACGGACATGATGCTGGATAGTACTCTTCTATTGTACTCTGAGTATGTTTAGGAAACGGAAAATAACAATTGAGGACATGCTGGTCATTGTTGGAGACAATTAATAATGTCGGTGCCCCACTAAACCAGAAATGACATGATTCATGCTTCAAGGTGGAGAGGACGTTTAGGCTAGTCATGCTCAGTCATATCAAATATATGCGAAAGAGACCCTCCCTGTTCCCTTCATAACCATATGTCCGCGCCTCATACTTTGCGTTTTCAGTCGCCAGGTAGATTCTCACATGTGTCTCCATCAACGTACTCCCAGGCTTTTTCCATTACCTTTCAATCATCAAGCCGGCGCCGGTCTCACGTCATATAGGCCGATTTTCGTAATGGTGCCTGGGAGGGAGGGAAAGTGAACTCGCTACCAGGCTGCGAAGCGTATGTCCGACGTTAACCATCCTCCGGTCCAGAGTCAGAATCCGGATAGCAGGGCTGCATTCGGGAGAATTACCGGTTTCGCCAGAAAAGGTTCCGCTACAACGTGCCCTCGAAACACCATGGATCATAGAACTAGCCTATATAGCAGTCCTGCAGGTGCTAACGAGATCAAACCCGAGAGGAATAAGGGTAGCATCTCGAGGAAGCGGAACTAGCAGAGGATGGCGTACGTATCAATATATCTCACTGCTCGAGCTTGTTAAGCAAACAAACCCAGGGATGCGGACGCAAGAAAAGCCTTCCGTCTAAGTATGCTTGTGTACCTCCAATTGCAGGGTTACCGTGAGGACATCGCAGCTGAGAGGAATTTGAACGAGAAGGCGAAGGAGGTGTATTTAGCAGCGCAGGAACACAAGAATGAGGCTGCTAGAGCGGGGTGGCAGCGTGTACTTCCTCTTGCAGTTGGATACCTCAGATGAAGCATGTCTAAAGTAAAGTACACTGCAGAAGTGCCTGACAATCAGCCTTACTGGGGCAGAATCATGTGATTGGTACCGGATCTACACTCTTATCTCCGTTGTCGCATTGCAACATAAACAACTCCCATCACCATCCCAATAACAACTACAACGCCCATCGAAATGGAGGAACAGCATCAGAAGAACCCTCTATCACAAGAGAAACAATCCCCAGTCTCAACCAGTATGTACATAGCGATCAAGCCAACGGCGAACACACTGCTAACCATCCAGCCACCGATGCGCCGCAGATAATCGCCCATCGGGGCTTCAAGCGAAAATACCCCGAGAACTCCCTATCCTCGTTCAGAGGCGCCGTCGAGGCAGACAGTAATGCGATCGAGTTGGACCTAGCGTTGTCCAAGGACGATGTTGTCGTGATATCCCATGTTCGTCATCTAGGCAACTACATATCGCGACAGTGTACACTGTACTAACAAGGACAGGATGCCTCGCTAAAACGCTGCTTCGGGGTGAACAAAAAAGTCGCCAAGTGTGATTACGAGTACCTGAAAACTGTGACCATGATCCAGGAACCGCATGAGCCGGTTCCACGGTTATACGAACTACTCCAATATCTGGCGCAGCCGGAGGCGGCGCATATTTGGGCTTTTCTTGATGTCAAGGTATCTCCACCTACTTCTCCTAAATTTATGGAATAGTGTACTGACATGAAAAGCTCACAAATGATGCTGTCGCGATAATCCCGCAAATCGCCAAAACCATCGCCTCCGTCCCACCCGCAGAGAACAAACCATGGCACACCCGTCTCATCATCGGCGCTTGGTCTTCAGCCTTTATACCCCAATGCATCACCCATCTTCCAGAATTCCCGTTATCGCTCGTTTGCTTCGACCTTCACGCCGCGCGTCGATTTTTCCCGCTTCCGAACCTCGTGGCCTACAATGTCAATCAACAGGTACTGATGGGTCCATTGGGACGGGGGTTCTTGGAGGATGCGCACAAGGCAGGAAAGAAAGTGTTTGTCTGGACACCAAACGATGAAAGCGCTATTCAATGGTGCATCCGAAAACGCGTCGATGGTGTGGTTACCGACGATCCCGAGCTATGTCGGCAGCTCATAGGCACGACAGACCCGTCTGCTGGATCGGACGCGATCACATTTAGCCAGAAGACCGAGATTCTGACCATTTCACTACTAGTTGCGCTGTTTGGGTGGTTGTTCAGACTCAAATTCCTGCCAAGGGTGAAGGTTGACGCACCACAGAAGGCCAAACCGCCTTCTCATTGATATTGAACACAGGAGTATATTGGGATAGATAGACATTGCTCCATTAACTATTACCCATGCCAACCTGACCTTTTGTTTAATCGCCGCTGTTGGACCTGTACATAATCTCCAAACATAACCGACATTATATACAATAGAAGGCATGGTATACATGAGACTGAAACATTTCAACCAAACGTGTGCAAAAATAAAAGAAATGGGTATACATGCACGAAAGTAACTCCACTAGGAAGGTATGTCAAAAAGGAAACGAAAACTGATGTACCGGATCAGTTAAAAAATGTAAGATAAAAGAAAGCCGTCATAGTAGAAGGGAAAGGCTTGGTCAAATGGTCGAAAATGAAATCATATCATCATAAGCCTGGTCGTCCGCCGCTCAGGGAACCGCTTCGCACCAGGCGGAGGTCCATACGCAGGGCCGTACGCAGGACCAAACGCACCAGGTGGTCCCAGCATATCAGGGCCTATAGGAGGAACCATAGGCGGAGGTGGACGCCGTCCAGGGCCAGGCGGGAAGGGAGGACGGCCCATCGGACCCGGACCAGGACCCATAGGGCCAGGGGGTCCATACGGGTCTGGCGGTCGCGACAAAGGCGATGAGGGCATTGTTGGACGACGGAATCGAGGAGGCGGCACGGATGCTGCGGCTCTGCGGGCGTCGCGCTCGCAGTAGACTTGTCCGTTCCATTCGAAGTACTCGCCCTTGAGGTTGATGTTGCAGGTACGACAGGTGAGACAGTCAGGGTGGAACTTGCGGCGGTCGCTGGGACCGCGGCCCATTCGTTCATCGGTTTCTAGGTATTGACCCTCGATGCCGGCGTTGCATGTGCTGCATAGGGAGCCGTTCAGCTCGTGGTAGTGTTGGGCGCAGTAGGGCTTGTTCTGGAGGACGTAGAAGTCTGCTGTCTGGAAGGGAATGCGGCAGTAGCAGCACGCAAAACAATCGCGGTGGTAACGGCCTGTGAGTCTACCATCTGCCGATGAGACTGACTTGCCAAAGATGGCCTCTCCGCATCCACGGCAGCGGCCCTTGGAGCGTGGGGCACGAGGTGGAGCGAGTGCAATGGCTTCTGGGCGTTCCTTTACTGGTGATACTGGTGATTGTTCGTCTGAAGGGGACTCAACGGAATTCTCAGAACGCGGAGACTGTTGATCGGAAACAAGAGATAAGCTGCCTTGAGAGAGAGCCGGGTCGGTAGGTGAATCCGGTGGCTGGAGGAAATTAGAGAGCTTTGGTGGTTCGAGAGGGCTGCCCGATTGAGAGGCGTCCTCCAGCATCGGGAACGGAGATGGTTGATCGTGGTGGTTCTGGTTTTCCTCAACAACGGGCCCGAGTCTGCTAGCTTCTGATGCCTTGCGTCGCGATAAGCTCGTTTCTGATGGGAGGCTGGACAGAGAAGTTCCGCTTCGTGATTCAGACGGCGAGAACTCTGAAGAGACCGTTGAGCTCTCTGTAGTATGTCCTGCGTCGTCCAAACCCAGCGCACGGGCAAAGTTTGACACGGAATTGCCCCCCTCACTGGCATCGGAGTTCTTCCTCCGGTTGCCTTCGTCAATCGAAAGGTTATTCGGGTGCAAGTAATGGCTGGAACCTGAAGGTTGACGCGCACCATGATATTGGGCGGTGAATGGTTCCCTAGAATCGCGGAATCTGTCGACGGACGGAGCAGGGGAGTGGGAGCTCTGGGATGGTGACCGCTGCGAATAGAGTTGGCCAGAACGGCTCTCGGAGCGGGAGTGAAAAGAGAAATCCAACTGTTCGCTATCGCTGGGACGATGAATTGCGGCCTCGCGATTGCTCTTTTCAGAAACTCCAAAGTCGAATCCACCGTATGATGAATCATGCTGCTCATTATGGTATGCGGCGTCTTCCTCCCCGAGCTCCTGATGCGTTGGCGTTGGGTTCTCGGTTAACGTCTCGAGAGGCGCGGATCTTGAAAGAAGTCCATCATCAAAGAACGCCTGCGGATCGCGAGCCACGCTTCCAAATGATGGTCGTCGACTGGACATCATTGTCGAACGCTTCGACCCATTGTCGTACTTGATGCTTGCCGTCCCATAGCTGCTCCTACTGTCCAGTGAATCACCACGCCTGTGAAAGAAATCCGGGAGCGGCGCCACATCGTCAGCGACATCATCAGCGAAGTTGTCATCCTTTGGTAATGGCGGTGGTGGTGGCAGAGAACGTTCTCTATCGATGGGAGCTGGTCGTGCGCTCATGGGTCCTTGATCCTGATCCGCATAAGGAGAGTGTGGGATTGAAACTGGCGGCGCTGAGCCGAGAGGTTGCATATTGGCCAGGGCACCGGGTCGTCGGTTAGACATTGAACGAGGTAATGGGAATGCTGGGATGCCTTTGCCCCAGTCAGGCGATGGTGGTTCAGAAGGGATTGGTATTGTGTTGCTTCGCTGTAAACCATAGGGAGGGCTTTGATTTGAGCTGGGAGTATCATCATTGTTGCTTCCTGTTGATTGCAAAAAGGGACGATCTGGACTGTATCAGCCGACTGGCACAACAAGAAAACCTTGATTTCACTTACTGGCCATTAAGGGATCTATCCGCGGTAATGGTTTCTCCCATGAATACCCTGGCGGGGGAGTAGGGTCAGATTTCGGAGGAGGTGCTGGGGGCGTTGGCGAGGATCCTTGGTCTATACGATCAGTACCTAAACAGCGACAGAGGCAAAGAGAGATGAAGGAGGGGATTACCATGGCAGACATGATCCCCCATGGCAGAAATATCGACACCAATGCCGCAATTAGAGCATTTTATTGTGGGCAGCACGCCCGCATCGACGACAGCCATGTCGTCGACTGGCACTGAAGAATGTGATGTCTCTTAAAGTATGCTAACTATAGTCGATGCATGAAGAGTGACATCTGCCAGGGGCGTGTTTGATCTGTCCGACAGGCCGGGGCCCTCCTCGCGTCTGGGCACTTCTGCAGCCAATCGGTAGCTATGCGACTGATCTTAATATGAAGCGTTATATCTGGGGAGTGGGATATTGAAGAATAAAAGTAGTGTTGAAACAGTTGCGATAGTTATGAGAGAAAGAAGAAAGAGAATACCGCTGGATAGACGATAAGAACTGCGAGTGGAGACGATGGTGCAAAAGACACCATAGAGTCAAGGCCCTCGTGTGGACAGATGACGATCAAGGAAAAAACAATGTCTCCAACACGCGTTCTGCGGTATTATTAGTGGGATTTGGAGCCTTGTGAGGGACACTGTGGTGGTTATAGATAGATAGGATTTTCTATTCGGGCATTCGACGATGCGCCGCCACCGATGCCAATAGATACACAGGGGAAACTTCCATTTCTCTTTTAGATGACAGGGGATCTCCAAGTTGATCGGGTAATATTGTTTCTCCAATGATTCCATTGTTCACTGTTAACGCACTTAAGCTCTGTAAACTCTGAATACGGGAGGCGCAAAAACCCCTGAGACGGACCGATGATCTTCAATGCGGTTCAGGGGGAGCCCGTTCCAACTTTCCACTCCGCGTGAGACTGGTGTTGATTGGTTTATTAGGGCGAGAAGGACTCCATTGAGAGAACCTGGGTGGTTTTTCTTATCTTTTTTGTTTTCCAAAAATATGTTCCCAATTCGTTGTTGTCTCTGGCGCAGTGACGTGGTTTCAATGCATGCCATTTTTCTTTCTCGGAGTTGTTGGCACCCACCCAATCTGATTGTCGGTCATGCTGTGTCGTCCTCTGCATCTATATGGGGTACAGTAGCGCATGTCGACGGTAGTTAGTGTTGACCCATTCCGACTCCGTCGTTGCATTCCAAGCGGAGTGGACAGGGGAACTCGCGCAGACTGTTGTAATCTCCGTGCACCGGCCAGATTTCTGGAACTGTTCTTGGCGGGACATCACTCTTCATGCGATTCATATGGACTTTAATGCCCCTGTGTCCTGACTCCGTACAGATAACTCTGTACCCAGGACGGGTATGGTCATGCCTTGGTGTGTACACAACCTCCGTCCTCCGCTCCGTACTTTGACCGAATGATGCCATTGACCCGTTTTCGGATCGTCGTCATGGTCCTCTGCGTCCACAATCCACTCCACAGAGAGCAACCGCGGGCCAATTGGGGATGAGATACGCGTATGGCACATTGTGTGATTGCAGTGTGCCGTCTTCAGCACGTCCTCGCTATAGTGCAGGTACGGAGCACAGGTCCTCATGTTCTGCATCGATATCACAGGCACAGCACCTTAAGCGAAGAATCCGAAACCGATATAAAGTTCAATAGTCGTAGCTCTTCCCTGAACAACCACAAATTCAATAGTCAGCGGATCAGCACGGTCCATGGAACCCTAGCCGGGACATTCCGTTTTATAAGTCGTACTCCGTACACCGCAAGAGAGTTGTACCGATATGACTGAGGCATCCAGGCATTCAGGCAGAGGTCCCGGCAATCTAGCACCCCGGTTCCATATGCCGGCCCCTCGTGGGGGATCCGACCGTTGGCAGGTGCACAGTACATATCGGAGATCATAACAGTGTACAGTACTTGTGCAGAGCACTGTACTTATATAGAGTAATCAAGTAGCATCCAACATGCCGGCTATAAAAAAGTCTAGATTGCAAATCAGATGATCGTAACGATGAAGTGTCCTTTATAGTAATTCACCGAGTTGCGGTGACACCTATTCGGCTGCTTGGTTGTTGTTCACCGTCCGCCGGAGCATCACGGGACTGTTTGCCAGGGCTTACTTAAACAGCCGCTTTCCTCGTGTCCTCTTCTCTCTTTCTTCTTTCTCTCTTCATCCCATCTTCTACTTCTACTCAAGCTCAATTGCTCGTCTACGCTCGATCACTCGTCCTTGAGGTGGTCAACAACCGTCACCATTTTCTCCACACTTCTTAACTCGTGAGTATCTCTATATACATGTCTTCTGTACAGTATACTAACCCTCCAGGCGTCACCACCCGTTCAACGGCCGGCGCTCATCCACCCGTGGAGGGGCATCGGACGAATTATTCTACACTCAGTAAACGAATTCGTCTACTCGTACTATCAAATCTACAACGATGGCTCCCCACGCTAACTCGGATGTGGCCAACGGCGCCGTGAACGGGTCGGTCTCCAACGCTCCTCTGTTTACCGTCAACTCTCCCAATGTGGTCTACAACGACAATGAAATCAAGAGTCAGTACGCTTACCACACCACCGACATCTCTCGTACCCCCGACAACAAGCTTGTTGCTACCCCCAAGGCCACCAACTACAACTTCAAGGTGGACCGTAAGGTGGGCAAGGTCGGTGTCATGCTTGTCGGTTGGGGTGGAAACAACGGTTCCACGGTGACGGCTGGTATCATTGCCAACCGTGATCGCCTCGTCTGGGAAACTCGCGAGCGCTCTCAAGCCGCCAACTACTATGGCTCCGTTGTCATGAGTTCGACCGTCAAGTTGGGTACTGACGCCAAGACTGGTGAGGAGGTTAACGTTCCGTTCCATGACATGTTGCCCATGGCCCACCCCAATGATCTCGTTGTCGGTGGCTGGGACATTAGCAGCATGAACTTGGCCGACTCTATGGACCGTGCTCAGGTACTCGAGCCGGGTCTCAAGCAGCTGGTCCGCAAGGAAATGTCTACCATGAAGCCGCTGCCCAGTATCTACTACCCTGATTTCATTGCCTCCAACCAGGAGGATCGTGCCGATAATGTCATTGAGGGTGACAAGGCTTGCTGGGCTCACGTCGAGCGCATCCAGAAGGACATTCGGTAAGCAGCTATCCTACAAGTTTGGGGTCTGTGCTAACCTTCACAGCGAATTCAAGGCTCAGAATGGTCTGGACAAGGTCATTGTCATGTGGACTGCCAACACCGAGCGTTACGCTGACATTGTTCCCGGCGTCAACGACACGGCTGAGAACCTGCTCGAAGCCATCAAGACCGGACACCTCGAGGTGGCTCCGTCCACTGTCTTTGCGGTTGCGTCCATCTTGGAGGATGTTCCTTTCATCAACGGATCTCCCCAGAACACCTTTGTTCCCGGTGCCTTGGACTTGGCGGAAAAGCGTGGGGCGTTCATTGGTGGTGACGACTTCAAGTCGGGCCAGACCAAGATGAAGTCGGCTTTGGTGGACTTTTTGATCAACGCTGGTATCAAGCTCACCTCGATTGCCAGCTACAACCACCTGGGCAACAACGACGGAAAGAACCTGAGCTCCCAGAAGCAGTTCCGCTCCAAGGAGATTTCCAAGTCGAACGTGGTTGATGACATGGTTGCAGCTAACAAGCTGTTGTACGCCGAGGACGAGCATCCCGATCACACTGTGGTCATTAAGTATATGCCGTCCGTGGGCGACAACAAGCGTGCTCTGGACGAGTACTATGCGGAGATCTTCATGGGCGGTCACCAGACCATCAGTTTGTTCAACATCTGCGAGGACTCGTTGCTGGCTTCTCCGTTGATCATCGACCTTGTGTTGATAACGGATATTATGACCCGCATTAGCTGGAAGACTGATGAGGCGGCCGAGTACAAGGGCTTCCACAGTATTCTGAGCGTTCTCAGCTACATGCTCAAGGCTCCTTTGACTCCTCCTGGTACCCCGGTTGTCAACGCTCTGGGCAAGCAGCGGAATGCTTTGATCAACATCTTCCGTGCTTGCGTTGGTTTGCAGCCGGAGTCGGACATGACTCTTGAGCATAAGCTGTTTTAGCTTCCCCCCCGTACCGACCTTTGCTTTTATCTGCACTTGATGCTTCACTAGCATGTCCAACTTAGTCGCTCATTCATGCAATAAACTGATTTTATTCTCAATACCATCGTACTACTTAGTCTGACCCAACTGGGAGTAAGCGTTTAAAGCTAACTGCCCACCCAGATGAGCATATAGAACATTGCCTTGAATCTCACCCTTTCGAACCATGTCCACCATACCCGCGAAACTCTTACCCTCGTAGACAGGATCCGTGATGAACGCCTCCATTCTCGCAGCATACTCCATAGCCTCCCAAGTCTGTTTATCAGGAATACCGTAAGTCCCCGCATGATACCGCTCGTCCAGAATAACATCCTCCTCGGCAATATCCTCCTCCCCCAACCCAATCTTGACCGCAGTATTCCTCGCAATCCTCAAAACCTGCGCCTTGGTCTGCTCCGGCGTCGCGGACCCATCAATCCCTATGACCTTCTTCTTCGCCAGCTCAGGCTCAAGCTTCTCAACCAACTTGAACCCAGCGATCATCCCCGCAAACGTCGACCCCGTCACCGCACACACAATAATCGTGCCAAACTCAACACCCATCTCCCTCTCCTGCTGCCTCACCTCAAACGCCCACCGCACAAACCCAAGCCCACCAAGCGGATGATCCGACGCTCCAGCAGGAATATAATACGGCTTCCCGCCACTCTTCTCAATCTCCTCCAACACCCCCTTCACAGTCCCCTTATGCTGAATACCGAACCCCTCCTCTCTCTCAAGTCTAATATCCGCCCCCATCAACCTCGACAACTGAATATTGCCCACAGATTCATAACCATCATCCTCCCAATCAACCCATTTCTCCTGCACAAGCGCAGCCTTCAACCCAGAGCGCGCAGCAACCGCAGCAACCTGTCTCGTATGATTACTCTGCACGCCGCCGATAGACACAAGGGTGTCGGCTGAGTTGGCGAGTGCGTCGGCGAGGAGGTACTCGAGTTTGCGGGTTTTGTTACCGCCGTAGGCGTAGGCGGAGTTGAGATCGTCGCGTTTGGCGTAGATTGTTGTATTTTTGGAGGGGGCGAGGTCTGCTGAGATGCGGGGGAGGGGGTGTATTGGGGAGGGGCCGAGGAGGAGGGGGGCTCGGGGGATTGAGGAGAGGGGAGGTGGGAGTTGTAGTTCCATTGTATCGTAGTAGAGTAGAAGACGCTTGCAGGGACTGACTGTAGAGATTGATTGATTAGATCTATACTACTGAGTTAACCTGGCTTATATAGTTGTATAGTCGTAGACATTCGGAAGTTGTCCGTGATAGAGGAGATATGAGGGGATGACAACGAGGAGATATGTATCTATCTGTATCTGTATCTGTATCTACGGGTGGCTATCTGCTCATTTGTCATGGGCATGGTCAGGTATCAACCGGAGTCAGTTCTGTACTCCGGTCGGAGTTGTAGACTGCTCCGGGGAGTACAGGTATGGAGTACGTGGGGGAGTACTTGTAAATACATATGTAGAAGTACAAGGTGCCGATACAAGGTCCCCGTGAGGACCTTGGGGTTCATTGATATACTGTTATAAGCACTCGGATAGTCTTGAATTCAATCATATTCATCATCATAACTTTTCAATAACGCAATTACGACATGTCAACAACACAACGAACACAGTCTCCCTCCTTCATCTGCTCGAACGCTCCGTTGATGTTGGACAGAGGTTGACGGTGGGTGATGAATTCGTCAACCATCAGCTGGCCGTTCAGGTAGTCGTCAACCAATCCTGGGAGCTGGCTACGTCCCTTGATACCTCCGAATGCGCATCCCTTCCACACACGGCCGGTGACGAGTTGGAAAGCTACATTATTAGCAGGGTCTTTGGAAGTCTTGAGAAATATGGAGGGCTTACGTCTCGTGGAAATCTCTTGGCCAGCAGCAGCAACACCAATGATAATGCTCTCACCCCAGCCCTTGTGGCAGGCTTCAAGAGCAGCACGCATCACACCAACGTTACCAGTGCAGTCAAAGGTGTAATCGCAGCCACCGTCGGTCATGTCAATCAGCTGTTCCTGGATGGTCTTGCCGTTGAGCTTGGTGGGGTTGACAAAGTCTGTGGCGCCGAACTTGCGAGCCCAGGCCTCCTTGCCGTCGTTGACATCAACGACAATAATCTTGCCAGCCTTGTTCTTGACGGCACCCTGGATGACCGACAGACCGACACATCCAGCACCGAAGACAGCAATGTTCGAGCCCTCCTCGACACCAGCAGTCACAACAGCAGCACCATAACCAGTCGTGATACCACATCCCAGCAGACACGAGCGGTCGGTCGAAATCTTAGGAGTGACAGCCACAACCGAGATATCCGCGACGACAGTGTACTGGGAGAAGGTAGAGGTACCCATGAAGTGCAGGATATCCTGGCCACGGGCCTTGAACCGCGAGGTGCCATCAGGCATCACACCCTTACCCTGGGTAGCGCGGATCTTGCCACAGAGGTTGGTCTTGCCAGACTTGCAGAACTTGCACTCGCGGCATTCGGGGGTGTACAGGGCGACGACATAGTCACCGGGCTTGACGGAAGTGACGCCCTCGCCGACGGATTCGACGATACCGGCACCTTCGTGACCGAGGACGATGGGGAAGGCACCTTCTGGGTCTTTGCCGGAGAGAGTGTAGGCATCTGTCCAGTCAGTACCCTCTTCTCCTATCCTTGGCGTCGGTCATACCTGTGTGGCAGACACCGGTGTGGTGGATCTGAATGCGGACCTCGTTGGTCTTGGGAGGAGCGACCTCGACATCTTCGATGGAAAGGGGTTCACCAGCGCCCCAGGCGATGGCGGCCTGTACTATGAGTATTTATTCTGAAAGATATGCGATCGTGAACTTACTTTGCAGGTGATGGTCTAAAGCAGTTAGCGAGATTAAATGGCAATTGCAGACAATTGGGTATCTTACCTGTCCGACGGTGCTGGCCATTTTGACTGAATAACAAGAACAGAGTGAGAACGGATATAAAAGAGAAGAAAAGAATAAAATACAGAAAAAGTTGAGGATTGGATGACGAGCGAGACCCGCGGATTTAAAAGCGTGCGGGAAGTGGAGGAGGGGAGGGGTGAGGGGCAGCACTACTCTATACAGAGGACTCTCATATCATTATTCACTATCTCTGACTACTACAGTTGGAGAAGGAAAGGACTTATACAATCCCCTCATAATCCCAGTTTTGATCTCCGCATTAGTTCTCTACAGAATAACAGTATATACGGTGTTTACCAGTATGTGAGGCTCGGAACTGCGGACGATGACGGAATCGCATCGGCAATACTAACTGCGACCGACATTACCACTTTAGATAGCTGTCAGCATTTAAATACCCCGTAGAGTAAGAACTAGTTGACTTTACATGTAATAGGCAATGTTTTCCGGCGGCAAATGAACCCAGTCCCCGATCCCGAAATGGTGATTTTTTCCATGTGAGCTACAGAGTACAGAGTACAGGTAGAGCAATACCATCCGTCGTAATCCATTGACGGCCCATCAAGGGCTCAATCTCATATAATACACAGACAGCTTTTTTGCCGTCCATTACCTATTTTTCCCAAAGTTTTCTTTTCAGTTCCGCACCGTCAATTTTAAGCAAACCCAAACCAACTTTATCCCAACGAACATGCGAACCGGTGCCAACAAACGAAGAAGGGTAAGAGGAGTAGGCGAAAGAGCAAAGACGAGGTGTTCAAGGTGACAATTACTGTCCACCCTGGGCGTTCTGCATCATAGCCGCGTTCTGTTCCTGGAACCGCTCGTTCAAGCGAGCCGAACCCTTGAGGTACTTGTCGACACAGCGCAGCACACAGCCCTCCTCACGAGAAGCAAGCGAACGGGTGGTGAAGTCGTTGACACAGTCATCGAAGCAACGTTGGACGAGTTTGGAGTACATCTGCGGGAGTCAGTTGGTGTGTCCAGAGTTGGATGTCGTAAGAAGAACGCACGCCCATGAATTCCTTCAGCTGCTTCCTTTCCATGCGAGAGGCGAGCTCGCGCTGTTCCGTAGCATTGAGACTGCAAATTAGCACGTTTCGATTAGATTAGAGGAGTGAATTGAATACACACCCGTCCATTTTGTATGATATTGGTGGATAGCAATGGCGCAAGGTGAACTGCTACGATTCTTCATCTCCGACCGCACTCCGCCAGGCGTCACGTGAGAGCACGTGATCTTCCATGGTAGTAGTACAGTGGCACTGAAACCGTCCAACGGTCGACCGAGTCTCGACTTTTGGATGGCCGGGATTGACCGGGTTGGAGGTCGAGTCAAGTCCCTGGCTGAACCCTGTGCCTATGCAGTTACCTGTGTATAGTTAAGGGACTTGGGGCACAGTACTAGTAGTCTAGCCGAGTACAGACACTGTCTACCCATAGTAGTGCTCGTGCAGATAGTAGTAGACTCTTTATTCCTCTCTCTTGGGACTCTGCAGTGTGTTCTGTACCTAGAATAGTACATTTGGATGGCTGCCATACCCATGGTTCCTGAGACCCCTTCTGGCAGTCATCATGAAGGATCATCAGCATCATCGATCTCGCTGTTCCTCTCTATCCCTCCTCCCCTCTCCTCTTCTCCTCTTTTCCCTCTTTTCCTCTTTCTCTCCTACACTCCTTCATGCTCCTTTATCCTCCTTGATCCCTCCACGTATAGTCCAGATCAGTCAGCTAGAGTCAGATATCGCCCGTTTGCTGCTATTTTGGGAACCGCCCAGCCCCGGCTTTTTCGCCGCCAAACCCCCATTAACAACAGTCTGTGTTAATATTATACAGTCAAGCAAGTCAAAGAGACACGAGGGCGGTCTGACTTGGTGACGGTCTGCCTCACTTGAGACTGATTCATTCATTATTGATTATTGATCTTCAACTCCCTTCATTCGTTCGCTCAACCGTCCAATCGAGTTCGGGGTCGTCGGTCCCTCTGATCCAATTAATTCCAGATCGCCCATCGTCCCTCAATCTCATTCTCGACCTTCGTTTCTCATCGTCCTCGTTCTCCGTTCTCGTCCTCATCATCGTCCATCGTCCATACACTCATATAGTCAACCTCGTCTACATCGTCTACACCGTCAAAAACGCCGGTCTACACATCCGTCACGAACATGGTGACGGGAAAACCGGAGCCCTTCCAGGCCTTCGCGCCCACTCCCTCTCAACCCGTCGCGTTCTCGCCTCCCTCCAAACGAGATCTCACTTCCTGGTGGAGGCAGTTTAAGAAGAATACCCGCAGAGAAGAAGTCAAAGGTGCGTTTACCTCATGCGGATCACCAGCATGAAGTCCATGTGTTTCTCGGTCCATTCTACAACTCGTCCGCTTCGACGAAAGGAGGTGGTGCTTCCGCGATGCCGCCAGTGACCCCCGGCTTGTGCTATTTCGAGAAACGCCAGCCTGATGCGATCGCTATCCTCTGTGAGAGGTATCGCGTCGATCAGCAGTACAACCTCTGTCGACTCACCATAATCTCACCATTATCTCTTCATGGCTGGCGCTGACGGTTCCTACGTTTAAAAATAGATGTACCTCGAGGAATCTTCGGTATCCCTCTCAACGTCAGCATCAAATATGCCAACGTCGCGATTTCCCTCACGAATGACAACGGTGAAAGCTTCATCTACGGTTACGTTCCTATCGTCGTTGCGAAATGCGGGGTGTTCTTGAAAGAAAAGGGTGCGTCGACTGCCTCTCCTCTCTGGTGAGGGACGTCACTAACTTTGATTGTTCTAACTAGCAACCGACGTGGAAGGCATCTTTCGTCTCAACGGTTCCGCGAGGCGCATCAAGGACCTCCAGGAGATCTTTGACTCTCCCGAGCGATACGGAAAAGGTCTCGATTGGACTGGCTATACCGTGCACGATGCCGCCAACGTTCTTCGTCGCTATCTCAACCAACTTCCCGAGCCGATCGTGCCGTTGGATTTCTATGAACAATTCCGTCAGCCGTTGCGCACCTATCAGCGCCAGGTCCAAGGTCTTGCGCCGGCCAACGAAACGGAGGTTTTTGACCATGCCAAAGCCGTCGCAGCCTATCAGCAGCTCATCAGGGAGCTCCCGCCGCTCAACAAGCAGTTGCTGCTCTACATTCTCGATCTCCTGGCTGTCTTTGCCTCCAAATCGGAGCAGAACCGGATGACCTCCGCCAACCTGTCCGCCATATTCCAGCCTGGGTTGCTCTCCCATCCCCAACATGACATGTCGCCCGATGAATACAAGCTGAGCCAGGATGTCTTGATTTTCCTCATCGAGAACCAGGACCACTTTCTGTTCGGTATGAATGGCACCGCGGCGGATGAGGAGACCGTCAAGGCGGTTGAATCTGGCGGCATCGCCCCTCGCGCACCCACGACCACCCAGACCAGCATCCGTCGCTCCGTCTCCAGCGCCAGCGGCGGCGCAGACAGCTTCCGCAAGTACGGAAGTCTTCGACGGAACGTGTCCGTGTCCTCCAAGAATTCGCGAAACTCGAACGCCACCACCAGCCCCGGCACGCCGTCGTCGTTGAGCGGAGTGCACCGCAGCAATACCCTTCCATCGAAGATGGCTCCTCCTATGCAACGCAGGGCCGTTCAAGAGTCCAACACTGGCAATACCACGGGACCCGCGCCGCCCGCGAAGCCGAGCCCATCACCTAGTCGGGCACTTCCCTCCACGGAAAACACCAACCACATTCGTATTCAGACTCCTTCGGGCCCTGATGGTGCGTCGGTGATTGGTACATCTGGGATGGCTTACGTCCATTCGGCCACCCATGGCCCCATCCCCAAACGTTTTGCAGGACATGTCACGGTCCCTGAGCCCCAACCTCCCCGGGAAGCCTCCGTCTCCCCTCCCCCTCCTGCGGCGGTCACCCCGATCAAGGAGCGTAAACTGTCCAGCTTCTTTTCCAAGTCTCCACCACCCGGTGCTGAGCAGCGGCAACCAAACCGGTTGAGGAAAAAGCGGAGTCCGGGTAGTGTCTGTGAGAGCGCCCAGAGCTCATCTCAGTCTCTTCATGGCGTCACTGCTGACAATATTCCCCGCACCGTGCCTCCAGAGAATGGAGGAGCGGTAAACGGTGCTCAGGATGAATCTCACAGCAATAACCAGGAAAACGGTACCTCCCAGAGTGAAAACGGGCAGACGCAGACAACGGACACTTCGCTGAAGCCACACTCACGAACACCGTCGATGCGCTCGCGCTCGTCCTTTACGGACCAGTCAGATCTCGAACAAATCGACGAGACGGCGCGAGCGGAACGCAAAGAACAGCGACAGAGCTGGAGGTTCCCTCGCTCGTCTAAACGGAGCAGTGAACAGATCGGTCTCGTGTCGCCACCTTTGGGAGCGACCAATCCGAGTGCTACTCGCAGCGCCAGCTCAATCGGTAGTTGGCACCAGACCAGCCGGAGCTCACCATCGGACCTCCAACAGTTTGCCAATGACCCAGCGAACCAACCGCTCAGTCTTGACGCCGAGCTCAACAATAACGGCTCTCCCAAGGAAATTGAACCAGAGAGGCGAAGTCTGTTTGGAAAGTTCAAAGCCAAGGTCGGACTAAGTCGCGACGGAAAAGACTCGGACTCACTCAGAGACCGAACGCGAAGTCCGGTGAACTCGGACACCGAAATGTCCGTGTCCAACCTGGCGTTGTCACCACCACCAAGCAAGTCGGCGTCTGAAGCGAATGGTCCTGATGAGTCTCCTGTGTCCCCATTGCCGGGCTCAGGATTTCCACCTGCCATTCCGGAAGAGCCAAACTCGCCAGAGTCTCCTATTGCACCTGCTCTTATTGAGCAAAAGGAGCCTGTTACAAGTGCTCCTGAATCGGCGCCTGTTCAAGCTGAAACCACCACTGAACCGTCCAAAGAGCTGAACTAATTGGGTTGTCCCTGTTTATTGACTTTGGTCAGTGATCATGTCTTTATGTCGCGTCATTTCCTTTGATGTTTTTGCTTGAACACGCGGGTGGCACTTTTGATCGTCGAATTATGTTTTGCCTTTTCGTTCGGTTCCTAGGGGTATAATATGTTACCTATATCATTTCGCGTGTCGTTCATACCCCTCTGCCCTTATTCTTATCCTTATGCTTTACCATGCGTCACGAATGTATGCTTATGCTTATTCTGCTTCTTGTTGCGGTAATCTACATGGATAGTTGGTTGACTGCTTAGTTGGGCAAAAACGTAAAAGAGAGAAGAGAAAGAAAAAAAAAAAAAAAAAAGGAGGAAAGGAGTTATATAGGGAGTTCTCAGGCGTAATGTTTAATGTGTTCTCTTTCTTGGATTCAATTGTTGGCTAGGTAGGGCTTATGCAGTCAATTGAGTGTCGGTTATATATCTGAACGCAGTGTCGAGAAATGTAGTGCTACGTTTTGTACGGAATAGTATCCAAGGCTTTGGATATCTTTATAATGGTATCCATTTATCTTGTCATCGTCATTATACCTAAATTGTGCAATTGTAATTCATTCCCCTTGAACATAGCTATGTCTAGTTATTTCCTTGGGCCCAGATATGGCTGCCACGATCCCAAGGCATAACGGAACAATTACCCCAATACGGAAACCTGTCCTAGATTATCCGACTCCTGTATCCGCGTCCTCCGCCTCCAAATCAAGAACAAAACACCATTCATTCATTCAATTTAATCCAATCTATTCAACAAAAATTGCCAGGGCGCACGCCCAGTGCTTTAACAATGACCTCAGCACCTCCCTCCCCACCACACCGCACTGGTACATCCTCCTCCTCATCGTCCAATCCAACACAATCACAATCAAATGCATCCGCATCTGCCCAGGCACCACCCCCGAAACCCCCAGCGCCGGCCGTGAGTATTCTCCCGGGGCAGCTCGCGCGGGTGTACTCATTTGCGCATCCTGTGCTTTTGCTGGGTCTGTTGGCTGTGCGGTTTAAGAAGTTCGTGGAAGACCCGGTTAGTGAGTTGTTCGGTGATTTGCCCGTGTTGGCGGGCCTGCAGGTGCTGTATGCGGTTGTTTGTTTGCCGCCTGCTGGTGCCCCATCATCGAAGGGAACTACAGTGGAATCGAGTCTGGGTGGGAGTGAGGGCACGGTTTTGAAACCGGGGAGAATTGGACTGCGACGGAAACATGCGAAAGAAGCTGGAATTTCCGTGAAGGTGGTTGTACGTATCCTCTGGCCAGTTTACCAATTACACAATACTGACAACGATAGCCCGCTTTGATCTCACTGACATTAACAACCCTCCTCGCAACCCCCATCCTCTCAATCCTCCTCGTCCTCTTCGGCGCCCCGTTGACAACACACAACCTCGAAACGCTCCTCTGCGCAGCGCACATGGCCGTCCTCTCCGCAACAGCACTAGTCTATGTACATGGCGTCGACGGGAGTACCTGGCGGGAGGTCTGGGGCGTGGGTCGGCCGGCGGATGCAGTTTGGGGCGGAGCGCTGGGGACGGGCGTGGGTGCTTGGTTTGGGGCTGTGCCTATTCCGTTGGATTGGTAACTCCCCCTTTTATAACCTTTTGAGGAGTTGATGCTGATAAATATAGGGACCGTCCATGGCAGGCGTATCCTATTACTATCCTGACTGGTGCGTATATCGGGTACGCTCTTGGGTCGTTGATTAGTCGGTCGTCGTGTTTGTATGGAAAGAGGATCCAGTTCACGCCCGAGGTTGAGGAAGATATGGATAAGAAGACTGAGTAGGGTGTTAAGATTGGGTACTCATTATAAATCTGTTGTACTGTATAGACTAGTAGTAAATAATCATCATCTATTTAGACGCATCCGTATCCAGTAAGACTAATCCAGTGTTCTGAGATCTATTCGATCACAGTGGAACAATCTATTTCGTGTATCTATAGACAATAAAATCAATATATTCAATATATCCAGTCATCAATGAATGTAAAACCCGCTAGAATGTAACAAGAAGTGAAGTATAAACCGAAGAGAAAAGAAGAAAAGTAGCCTTGGCTACGAAAGAAAAAAAAAAAAAAAAGATAGCCTCGTGCCACGAAGAAAAAAAAACCACCATTGGTAAGTTAAAGAAAGCCCCCCGGGGGAAGAAAAAGGAAAGACAATTGGGGTATAGGTATACAGGACATTAAGCGAAGAGGGTATACGGCAAGGCATCAAGGAGTAGACTCCATCAGTCGCAAAGGTAAGTAGATATAGTTAGTCATATCATGCCGGCAATCTCAATCCGACGTTCCAGCTTGCGCAGCGCAAGCTCGTTCTTCGAGTCCCGCTCCAGATCCGTGCCGGTGCCACTATCGTAATGCGGATGTGGGATGATTTTCTCCGTTCGTGGGATGTAGTTTGTGTTTGACTGCGGGGACGAGTGAGAATCCACCGAACGAAGGCAATAGGGCTCTACCGAGTCTGCGCTTTGGATTGGGTACATAGTGCCCATACTCACGGTCATGGAGTCGCGAGCCATCTTCTGGAGTTGTTGGACGTCGTCGCGGAGACTGGAGACTTGGCCTTCGAGGGATTTGCGGGCGGACTGTTCTCTGCGGAGAAGGGCGACTAGGGCGCTGTATTGTTCGATGGAGATGCTGGATGCGCTGTCGATGTGTGGTGGGGAGGAGGGTGGTTGGTGTGTACGGGATTGGTGGAGGTTAGGGCGGATGGTGCCGGTGCTGATGGGGCGGTCTTCTGAGATTCTGGGCGAGCTACTTGAGCCGGTCGCGGGGGACAATAGTGGTGCCGGTCGTCCGTCTGGTATTAATGACTTTTTGGACGTGGATTTGGCCGTTGGCGAGGAGTCGCCTCGTTTGTCTTGTATGCGCGCAATGGCGAATTCTAAGTCGATGAGTTTAACCTCCAGGGTTGTCACGCGTTGTTCGATAGTCAGATTGTCGTGATTTTGCATCGTGTGTACTAGATTACCAACACTTGGCGGGACACTTTCGACTTCAGTTTGTTGCTCTGCATCATTGGTTTCGGGTGCATTGCAAGGCTCATCTGGCTTGGACAGACTGGCAACCGTGTTTCGCGTAGGAGGTCTAAAGGAAAGTTCACTGTCGGAGACTGCTCCAAAGGCAGGCGAGCCCAAGTATGTGATCTCCGTACTGCGCCGTGTCCATTGAATCGGAGACATGCGGTGTTCGTTAGCCTTCCTGCGAAGAGAATTGGTACTCCGCGAGCGTCGTTTGTTGCGCAAGGCAAGGCGCACTCGGAGGTTCTCTGGTTCAAGGCCATTGTCTTTTTTGGGGGTAATGTCGTGAGACTCCTCTTCAGAAAACACCAGACTGGGAAGTGTATTTCGTCGTCGGTGCACCGGCAAAGGGTCCAATTTGTTCAGATCCATCAATGTAGGGCGAAGATCCTTCTGCAATGGGCTGTTCTTCGTTCCAAGAGAGGTAGGCTGTGCGTCTTTGCGACTGCGACTCTCAGACTTGCGCGGTAACGACTTACTGGGACGAGGACTGTGGGATTCCATGACATGATCTTCCTCTAATTCGTCCGTCTGGCTGCGCCTCTTGCGATGGAATATCTTCCGCATAACCGTTCTCAGTGTACTCTCGCTCCGACGGTGCATTCCAGGCCCTCTGGCAATCATGTTCGATACCGGATCGTGTGTAGTCTGAAAAGGCGTCCCTGATCGCTGCATCCCGCGGAAGTTTCCGATTATCGCTGCTGAATCGGGTCGGTATCCAGGTCGACGACGGCTGAGAGACATGTTTTGCGACTGAATGGGGGGTAGGGCGGTATCGTATGAGGAATCCATTGTTTGGGCAGGGCCGTTGCCGTTGCTCCAAGTCGCTGACATTGTACTGTTCGGTATGTCGCACTGCGCATGGATCGTGTTCGGGTTTTCGAATGAATACTTAAGCGAGCGTGTTGTAGGATAGTGAAGGTGTGTAACGAGCGTCTAATAAACATATAAAGGGGTCTATGACTTGTCAAGTGGTCTGGGTGTTTGCCGTTAGATCTGCTGCGACGAGGTCTCAATACGGAAAAGTGTCAGCAGAGGCCGCGAACAAGTGTAACCTGGCCCAACTCACCAGGGCGGTAAAACGAGCGGCATAAGCAAAACCAAAGGACGTAAGGGTTCCTCAAAGCAGATCCATCCCGATACCAGCAGGGAAGGTCAACGTCGTCGGGGTCGAGGCCAGCCTAGGACGTAGCGGAGATGATAGTATGGCAGGCACTATAATAATAGAAACACCCCTGTAATAAATTCTCCGAAAGGCAGTAAGAAGCGAGAGCGACGAAGAGAAAGAGCAAAACGAGTGGTCTTCAAGAAAAAAAGAAAGAAATGGACGCGCTTGTCATATAAAGCCGACCAGGATGATCGCAGTAGGTGTTGAAAGAGTGTCGTCGGCCTCCACCACAGCAGAAGGACCAAATCTGGGCTTCAAACAGAGCCCGGTGAAAACCAAGAATATCCAGAATGGTTGAATCCCCCGAGAGATCTCAATCCACAACGTTAAAGAACCGCATTGATTTGGGCATGGCCGATTGGTTCAGGGGAGAGAAAGGAACAAGGAAGGTGGTCTATGGGGTACTGCAGAGAGTCAGAGTCAGACGAAGCAGCTAAAAAAATGCAGAAATTTTAAAAAGACAACACACCCGATGGAGACCCTCGGAGCAAGCAGGAGCAGAATGACCATGGAGTGTCTGTCCTGGTGAGTGTCAGGATGGAGACCGATCCGCACCGTCTGCCAAGTGGCCGAACGGGTGTTTTAACTGCTGGCTTGCGTTTCAGGCCGAATCCTGCGTGTATTCTCTGCTGAGAGCACAGAGCACTTGGGCTTGCACACAGTAATATGAGAAATCAAGTATTCTCTCACGGGTATATGGCTTGTCGATTTATCTCCCTTCCGAGATATTCTCTCACATTCTCGAAGGTCTACTAAGTACTGCAGACTGCACTCTGCACTGCACTCTGCACTCCCAGGAATGACAGATCAGGCATAGCTGCATCGGACCCATACATTGGAGGATTGGATCCATCTCGGAGACCGTACCAGAACCATTCCAATTCCCCTCTCACGGCTCAAACCCACGTATTCCGTCCCGTACTCCGTTGTTCCCCCCCCCCCCCCCCC